CACCTTTTTGCTCAAAGGGCATTTCCACATTACATTTAAGCAAGCAGAACCAACGCTGTCAAATGTAGTTTCGCCATAAGTACTTGTCTCTCCCCCCTCCCTCCCAGGACCTCGGGTGCAGAGGAACAAATTCTTCAGCCCTGGATTGTGGTGAATCTTGTGATAGCTCTTCTCGTTGGGATCTCCTGGCTCTTCTTATCCTACCGGCCCCAGTTAGATCACAGTGAAGGTAAAAGACAGGGATGCTCCATTGTGATTCATAAGCTGTGCAAAATCTCCACCGTAGATTTCTTCCTGTGCAAATTGCCCTTTCTTTCCCAGACCTGTTTAAGATCCAGGGAATTTCAGGGTAGTACTGTAGACTGCAAGCTCCAAGGAAAGGAACAACTGCGGTTTGGAGGTAGCAGAACGCAGGGGAAATGGAAAGATTATTGTGATGGTTTGGGGGAAAGAAGAGAGCAGGGTGGTTGGAAAAGAAACAGCTGGAACGTTGTACAGTACCACATTGAGAGTACCATATTAGATCGGGGTCCTGATCTTGACCTCCCAGCAGGCAACTTCAATTGAGGTATTGGTCAGTTACTTTACATCAGGTGGCAACTTCATTTTTCCCCAACACAAATTTTTATTAGTTTTCCACAAATTTTTAAACACACAAACAAACAAACAAACAAACATACAAACATAAATCCTAGCCTTGTTAAAACTAATCTTATTAACACTGTTAAGCGACTTCCTCGTATCCCCTTGGTTGAATTTCAGTGTATATCATTTTCACAGTTTTCCAAAACCTATATTCTCATAAAATTAACTTAGTCACTTAGCATCTTTCTTTCTTTCCCAATCTAAATTTCAACATATTAATTGATCACGTTACATATTTAAATCCTAAGCCTATCTGGTATTTGCAAGCTTTTCCAATTAATTTAACTTAACATATTTAACTAAATAATCTTTAAATTTCGTCCATTCTTCCTGGTAATCCTCCTCCTTCTGATCATGGACTCTTCCAGTCAGGTCGGCTAGTTCCGAAAAGTCCATCATCTTCATCTGCCAATCTTCCACTGTTGGTATTTCTTGTGTTTTCCAATTCTTAGCTAATAAAATTCGAGCAGCTGTTGTGGCATACAAAAATAATTTGACATCTTTCTTGGGCAATTCTAAACCTGTTATTCCAAGAAGAAAGGCCTCTGGTTTCTTAATAAATGTATATGTCAACATTTTTTTCAATTCATTATAAATCTTCTCCCAGAAGTCTTTCACCTCAGGGCAGGTCCACCACATATGATAGAAGGTACCTTCTTTTTCTTTACATTTCCAACATAGATTATCACAGGTATGATACATCTTTGCTAATTTAACAGGGGTCAGATACCATCTATACATCACTTTCATTATGTTTTCCTTTAACATTGTACATGCAGTGAACTTAACCCCTTTCTTCCACAATCTTTCCCAATCCTCAAACATTATGTTGTGTCCTACATCTCTTGCCCAATCTATCATCACTGATTTAACTTGTTCATCCTTTGTATGCCACTCCAACAATAAATTATACATTTTAGACAGATTTTTAATTTTAGAATCCAACTTCAAAAGACAGCATGGATTGGTGCTGACAGCAATCCCCACTTTATCCATTTGCAGGCACAGCTTGGATTCAAATCTGTTTGCAGGTGGTTTGAATCCAAGCCATGCCTACAAATGGGCAACTTCAAAAGGGGGTTGCTGTTGATGCCGATCATCTGATCGCTGTTGTGAGCCCTCATGCCAGTGATCAATCAGAAGCACACTTTAAGCTCCTGTTTATCACGTTGCATCTGTTTAGTTACCTGCCCCATACCCGATGTCACGGTGTGGGGTGGGTCAGTCTGGTTTGGGGTAAAAATCACAATGACCTTTGCTGGCCCTAGTTAGTTAGGCCTGTAGGCTAGAGATTTAGAGCAAATGCTAAGACTGCGGCAAGAGTATTGTTAGCCCAGAAATGGAAACAAGAAGAAATTTCAATGAAGGAAGAACTGCAGACAAAATTAATGGACTATGCAGAATTGGACAAAATGACAGGAAGGATTCGAAACCTGCGGGACCAGAGATTTACAGAAGATTGGAAGAAGTATATGAATTATTTGAAGAGCAACTGTAATCAACAAATTACGCTAGTAGGACTACAAGAAGTTTTGTAAGGAGAAATATACGAAGTGTTACAAAGTAGAAAAAGATAGAGATATTGGTTATGAGTTTGAAATGTAATAGGGAAGATAAGAAATGCATACTGAGAGATTAGATTGGAAAATTTTCAGACAGGATTGATGGAAGTAAAAAATTTGAATAAGATGTAAAAGTATGTTTAATAACTGTTGAAAATGATGTTAAAAAAACATATATATATATATATATATATATATATATATATATATATAGCAAATGTTAAGACACGTAAGGGGCATTCAGAGTTTGATGCTGACGAAAATTGTATGTTTTCAACTGTATTCTAATGTTCCCTACTGTTTTGCCTTTTCTTGCAGAACTGATGTTTAATGCTGAAGTAGAAGAATATCCCCCACCAGATAAAGAAGCCAAAGTGTCTTCATAGCACAGAGACCCTCTTCAAATACAATTGCTATGATGACTTAGTATTATCTATTTGTATTTCTGTTTAATACTTTTTATATTTAAAATGTATTTTTGCATTGTATAGGGTTGTGGGTTTTTTGCATAACTTATAATTATGTTTATTTTAAAATGTCAATAGTTTTTTTAATGGTAGGACAGTGTCAAAGTTTACTTTTTTCTTAGGAATATTCTAAAATTACTCTCTAAATATCTAGTTTTGCTTATGCAAGGAGACACATGGAACAGGAAACTTAAAAGAATAAGAGAATTTCTTTGTAGCACATTTCTTCCCTTTTAATAATCTGCAATTTGGTAGCCATATTTTCACAGAATTGAGAGCACACTGACATTCAAAATATTACAACAATTTTAGTGCCAATTTGTCTTTAAAGAATTAAATCAGGAATTAAAATGCATATTTAAATCATTAGTTTCAGCAGCATAAATAACTCATTGAAAAGTTTGCAAAATGTCTTTACAAATTTGTGCTGCTCCATAGTCACAGCTGCCGGCACTCATAAACCATGTTTGTATTGTACTGCTTAATTTATAAATCTAGCTGAACAAGTATATAAATTTGTTTACCAGTTGTTACTGAGTTATTATTGCATTACTTGGAAGTAATTATAGATTTCAGAAGTTCATTGTTTCATATCATGACCAATTCCAGTTAAATGTGTACTCCCAATTTAATTTGTTGGGTTGGGTAGGTTCCCTTGTGATATAATGTACTTACACGAATGTTTCATACAAATGAAGAACTAATAACTTGTATTTCAAATGTAGTTGGAAGTGTAAGCAGAAATAGAGACTCTGCCAATTCTTAAGCCTCCCTCATGATATCACTGATTTTGAAACTCCAAATTGGTTTTTAAAATAAGTGTTCTCTAAGTCTACCTCTTGTACAACATTGTAAAATTTAAACATTTGTGCAAATAAAAAATCAGCTCTTTTAATTGATGTGCCTCATATTTGGAAGAATATAGTTGAGATTTGTTTAGGTTTTTTAATCAAGTATTTTCATTATAAAGATATAATGGAACCCCCCTAGAGAAATGACACCAGCTCCCTTGTTTTCTTTCTGTCAGCAGGTGATATCTTCTTATTCCAACAGACTTTTGGAAACTGATTGCTTTTAATGAAAGTGCCCAACTGTTTTTCTAGTAATCTGTGTTTTTAATATTTTATTTAAATGTACATGAGTGTACACACACATACACTTACTTTTAATTCCATTAATGTTCAGTTGTTTTTTAATGCTTGCCCCCTCCCATGTTTTTAGTTATTCCTGTTTTATTTATGTGGGAGGGGGTTTATTAATTTGTGTTTTATTATGTATTTTGTGTTCTCATTTTGTATTTTTACATCGTGAACTGCCCTACGATCTTCAGATGAAGGGTTGTATACAAAAAACTTAAGAAACAATCAAAATTTGCAAGCTGCCATGAGTTCCTGTCTAGGAAAAAGGCAAGGTATAAACAAACAAGATAGACAGTTGAAATTCTATTGTTTGTTTGTTTATTATCTAGTCCCCATCTGGGGAAATGGCAAGGTACCGATAAATACATGCCCCATTTACGTATGTATATGTATGTATAGATAGGTAGATAGGTAGTTCTAATTCGATTCACATTTAATTGTCTTTTGTATGTTTGCATTGTTGTATGTATATAGTTCTAATTCATGTTTAATTGTCTTGTGTGTGAATTGTTGTATGTATAGAGTTCTAATTCATGTTTGTCTTTTGTATGTGTGCATTGTATGTATATAGTTATAATTCATGTTTGTCTTTCTTATGTGTGCATGTATAGATAGTTCTATTTCATGTTTAATCGCCTTTTGCATGTATGCACTGTTGTATGTATAGTTCTAATTCGATTCATGTTTAGTCGGTTTCTAAATAATCGTCGTCGTCCCCCCTCCCAAAAAAACGTTTTAGCTATTTCTATTTTACCTGTAAGCCGCCGTGAGTCCCTGTTTGGGGGGAAAAGGCGGGGTACAAATTAAGTTATAATAATTATAATAACAACGCCCTGCTTGCGGGCTTCCCCGTGGTACCCAGCTGGCCGCCGCGCTGCTCTCAAAAGCTAATCCTAACCTATTACCATTAATTTCCCATTTTTTATGAGGTGTTACTGGTGGGGGTGAGGGGTCGCCTGGGCCCCCTTTATGTGAGGCGGCCGCCGCCGCCGAGCAGCCAAATTGTGACGCCGCCTGAGGGGGGAAAGCGCCGCCGGAGAAGGCGACGGAGGCGGCGGCAGCAAAGCCGGGGCTGCCGGCGGGCGCGTCCTCCCCAACCGGAGGGAGATGAGAAAGAACCAAGGGCTTCCTTGGCCCTCCCGCCGCCGCCGCCGCCACCACCGGCCATCGTAGCCGCCGCCGCCGCCATGCGGAGCCTCTTCGGCCGCAAGGCAGTCGAGCCTCCGAACCGGGGCGCCCCGGCCGACGACACCCCGCCGCCGCCCAGCTCCGCCCCCCGCGGGAGCGTCACCTCCAGCGGCGGCGCCGAAGCCTCGCCCTCCGCCGTCGCGCCCCGCTACTCCTTGTCGACGATCCTTCGCCTGCGAGGCCTGAGCCCCGGCGAGAGCGATAGCGTCGGCGCCGAAGGAGGCCCCTCGGCCGAAAAGTTCAAGGGGGAAAGGGCCCGCTCCCTCCTCATGGTATTACTACTCAGGGAAGAAGTGCCCCTGAGCGTGTGCAGAGCGCAGTGCCCTCAAAGAACTCGTGAGAGGGCGCCATTTCATGGGGCTTGAGGCCAGAGAGGATGGGGGCAGGCTTCCCTCTCGCCCTCTTCCTCCTCCTCGGAGACATTCTGCCACCTGAGGCAGAGCCCAGAATGGCGCCCGCCTTCCTACCTGGGAAGGAGGCCTGAAGGGAGATGTGCTTCAGGAACCCAGGGAGTGGGGGGATAAAGATTTGCGCCTGCTGGTCCTGCCTTGTGAGGTGGGCGCTTCGCCTCACGGGCGAGCCAGCTCCGCTTTTTCAAAGGGAAGAGAAACACGTCTCCGTACCTGCTTTTGGGGATGCTGGCTTTGGCCCCTGGCCAGTATCCTGCCCATCCTTTCGTGGCTCTGCTGATGCTGACGTTTCCACCTTACGGTCTTCTCCAGGCCTCCCGAAACGCAGATGCAACTTTATTTTGAAATGTAAAGAAATTTTGACGCGTGCTCGCCATTCCTACAGAAAAGAGCCCCCTTCTCTACATCAAATTGCAGGCATAGAGACCATAGACCAGAGCGCTCAATACGTGCATTCGCTGGTTTTGTGGAAAGGGGTGCAAGGGAGAGAAACTTGGCACCCCTCGACTCCACAAGCTTGGGCGATGCTATAAGAAAGGGGCTCTTTACGTGTGTAGGCTTTGTATGTGCAACTGGCGCATGGAAGAGCCTACACCCGTCCGTGTGTAGAGGTCGATTCGCACCCATGTGCTGAGGTTACGGGGTGGGCCAGTGTGCAGGTACCTGCTCCCTTCTCCTCAAATCCAAGCAACATAATTTTGAAGGTGTGGATGGGGCCCTTGAGAAGCAGAACTTCCATAGTCCAGCATTCCACCCTTTCTGCATCTCGGCTATGTCTGTGCTAGAATGCTGGCTTCTATTATGACGTAAATTCATTTTGTCTGTCTGGTGCAAAAGTGCCTGCTTTTTAGATGTTTCTTCTAAACAGTGTGCCGTGGTTTAAGTACATGCCAAATCCCAGATTTTTGGGTGTCTTGGAAGTACCTTGATTATCAAATCCCCCAAGCAAATGTCCTCCCTTCAGTTTTTTTTCTTTGATGGAGCCCAGCCTCTGCTTTGGGCGCTGTTTGTGCCTAATTTCAGCTTCCTAGCTAGTACTAGAATAACAATCATGTTGGGATAAATGTCACTCCTCTTCCCAGTTAAATCTATATTTGGACATCGGAATTTACACTCTGTTCAGAAGATGGAGGCCTTGCCTATAGACCTGTGATCTTGAGTGTGTAGCCCCAGAACTACGAGGTCCAAATTGTGAGCCCTAATATTTACTTTGCTTTAAGAACTACTATTAAAGCTCCTGTCGCATACATTCTAAGTCAAAAGGTGTGAGAAGTTTGTTGAGCAATGGAAAGATTCCACTCCCAACACATTTTAGTTCCTTTATGTCAGTTCATCCACATATCCCTTCTGGATGCCCTGTCGGCCCACCTGCTAGATTAATGTGACTCAAATTTTGGGAGTCAGTGTCTTTGGCCATACTGCAGGCGTTCAATTTAGTGTGTCATATCCGAAACTAGGTGAAATGAGTTACATGCCATGTAGATCAAATGTTCTAATTATGTGCAAAGCTAAGTTGCTTCAGGTTGCAGTATCTACTATTTTTAGTTAATTGCAGAACCTAATTTTCCATTTTTTTATAGATGTTAATGAGAAATCAGAAGGCATCTGAAGAATCAACGGTTAATCGGTACCTTGATGTACATAATTTAATTCCTTGTGGTGATGTGGTACGTAGATTAAGTATGTTCACATTATTATTTTTCCATAGAATTTTCCTTTTTACAGGAGATACTTTGCCTGTTAGTTACTATGAGACTGCAAATAAGTTTTGATGACTAAGCTAGGGAATGAGATTTTCTTTGAGAAGTCGCCTTACTTTCTCCTTTCGTTAGACTGTTAATACCTTCTTATAAATACTAATAGCCTGGTCTCAGATACATTAGGTTATCATACAGTATATGCCTGTGATGCAGTTATAAAGGCACTGGTGTAACTTTGTAGTGCTTCATTGTGATTCTCATAGTGTTAACCTAGCATAGAGCTTCAAGTCTTGGGCTGGAAATTGTATGAACAAGTAAGCAACATGGGTAACATAAGTAACATTTTTCTTCTGCTTCTTGGAACCTAAAAAGAACTTAGCCACATTTGGTGTTGTTTAAAAAAGTAAAAACTGATGTACACCACCACCTCATGCTACAACTGACATTAGAAAAAGGCTTCCATTGGTCTCATGAAAAATCACCTCCATTTCATGGCTGCATTTGTTCTTACGAAAAAAATTTGCAACTCCCCCATTTACATATGTTCGGTATGTGTGCAACTGTGCACACGGGCATATTTGTGACTGAAAAACATCACAAAAAGGGGCAGAACAGGGTGTTTGCGGGGGTTTTCCTGTGGTGTTTCAAATATACGGTATATGATTTCACTGATGTATGCAGTATCTCAGAATGTAAATGGGGAGGGGGGTGCCTGAAAAGAAGGCAAGAGTATTGAGATGTGGCACAGACCAGTATCTCAAATTAAGAAGGAGATGACGGTTGAATAAAACCACCTAATGTGAAGGACCATCCTGCTTATTCTCTGTTAAGGGTGGAAGTACGTACGGATATCAAGAAACATGTAGATGCACCAAATTTCAATATGAATTGCACTTCTAAATGAGGTCTGACGTACCTGAAAATTCCATAAATTCCAAGGCTGAAATCTTATGCTTACTAAGTCATGCTGAAATATGCAGAGGAGCATGCTTCTATCTTGTCATCATGTTGGAACATAAATCAGTGAGCTTATCTTATCACATACACCCAATGCACAGAACACTGAAGCATTTGATTTCAGGAAAAAAACCGTAGATAATTCCAGGAATTTGCCCTATACCTTAAAGCTTGTGTGTAACTGCAATGTGCTTTTTATAAGTTGTGGTTTTAATAAAGTTAATTTAGTCATAATATAACATTTCATATTCTAATAGAATGGCTTGTTGGCAGTTAGTGTGAAGCAGTGCAAAGATTTCACCCCCAAATGTATCCTTTTTCTGTTCTATTAACCCTGCAGTGGGAAGCATCTGGTAAGCCTATTTAGATCTTTGATGATCTCTGGTGAGCTAGGGACAAAGGTGAAAGCTGTATCCTAGTTCTGCTGGATCTCTCAGCAGCCTTTAATACCATCGACCACGACATCCTTCTAGACTGTCTACAGGAGCTGGGGGCACTGTTATACAGTGGTTCCGCGCCTTCCTCCTGGGTTGTGTTCAGAAAGTGGTGTTGGGGGATGAGTGTTCAGACCCCTGGGCTCTCGCTTGTGGGGTGCCTCAGGGTTCCTTCTTCTCCCCCAAGCTTTTTAACATCTACATGCAGCCGCTGGGAGAGATCATCCTGGGGTTTGGACTGGGTGTTCATCAGTATCCAGATGATACCCAGCTCTACCTCTCTTTTAAATCGGAACCAGTGAAGGCGGTGAAGGTCCTGTGTGAGTGTCTGTAGGCAGTTGAAGAATGGATGGCGGCTAACAGATTGAGGTTGAATCCTGACAAGACAGAAGTACAGTTTTGGGGGGACAGGGCAGGTGGGTATGGAGGACTCCCTAGTCCTGAATGGGGTAACTGTGCCCCTGAAGGACCAGGTGTGCAGCCTGGGAGTCATTTTGGACTCACAGCTGTCCATGGAGGTGCAGGTCAATTCTGTGTCCAGGGCAGATGTCTACCAGCTCCATCTGGTATGCCAGATCGGCGGGGTATTGATGATGAGGATGATGATGATGATGATGATAATAATAATAATATAACTAGGGAAATGATGCCTAGGAAATCGCTCCCACAGCACCACTGCTCCAGTCAAATTTGGAGCCCCCACAGATACAAACACTGGGAAATCTGAACATGGATCTCTATATGTTACCTGCTTTAACCTTTATTCCCATTGCTGTCAATGAGACTTATAGATACAAGCTGCTAACTAGATGTTGTAACTTGCTGCTCATAATTTTCTTTAGCACTATTACTCAATGCACATCTTCCTTTTATGGTCACTTGCCCACCAGAAAGATTTATGCTTCCTTAACATGAGATTCTTTCAGTTGATGTTAAACATGACACCTACTTACTGATTCGCATTAGCATTGATAAAATCATGAAATGCACAAATCCCCAAGTCTTCCGACCAAGCAAGAAGCAAATTCCAATTAATTTCGGAGATGTGAGATATTTTTCTCTGAAGGTATGTTTCTGCTTTTGTTGTACTTCAATCTTCTTAAAGCTACCTGTCTGAGAATCTTAGTAGCTATTATTGATAGAACTGCTGTGATGTCAGAGAGGTCATAAGTGTGGGGAAGTGGCGGAGGACAGGACTCTTGTGCTTTTATTCAGGGCTGGCCCATGACGTTTTGGCAAGTGAGGCAAACCACAAAATGACGCCTCCCCACCCACCAGGGAAGAAGGGGGGAGCGGAGGTTTACATCAGGAATGGGCAGGCTAAAGTTCTACATTGGGAACAAGGGGGGAGCAAAGATGTGCTCTGGGGACAAGCAGGAAGAGCAGCGGCAGCAACAGAAGGCCATGCATTCCTTTTAGGCCACAGTGATCCATGCGACGGTCACCTCCAGGCTTGACTACTGTAATTCGCTCTACGCGGGGCTGCCCTTGAAGCTGTCCCAGAAACTCCAGCGGGTGCAGAATGCTGCAGCGAGGCGCCTCACGGGGTCTCTGCCATGGGAGCATATTCACCCAATTATTATTATTATTATTATATTATTATTATTATTACAGTGCTTTTCAAGCTGCACTGGCTCCCGGTGGAGTACAGGGTCAGATTTAAGGTGCTGCTTTTGACCTTTAAAGCCCTTCACGGCCTGGGACCCTCGTACCTATGGGACCGCCTCTCCCAGTACGCCCCACAGAGAGCCTCAAGGTCCATAAATAGCAACACCCTAGTGGTCCCAGGCCCTAAGGAAGTTAGATTAGCTTCAACCAGAGCCAGGGCCTTTTCAACACTGGTGGAACGCTCTGCCTCATGAGACCAGGGCCCTGCAGGATGTGATTTCTTTACGCAGGGCCTGTAAGACAGAGTTGTTCCACCTGGCCTTTGGCTTGGAGCCAATTTGATTCCCTCCCCCTCTTTCTTTTTTCTTTTTCCTTTCTCCTGTGATGAGGCTGCATTTTAATATTTTAATGTTTCAATATTTTAATGTTGTATTTTAATGTTTTTAAGTTGTACTCATTCAACTTGTTTTTATTATTGCTTGTTAGCCGCCCTGAGCCTGGTCTTGGCTGGGGAGGGCGGGGTATAAATAATAATAATAATAATAATAATAATAATAATTATTGGCACGATCTGCTGCCCTGCAGATCCTGCTACCAGAGGTGGTTGTTTCACCCTGCCTCATGGATGGGTCAGCCCTGCTTTATTAGTTGTGCAGAAAAGGGAGTTCCAGGAGGTGTGCCTTGCATAAGAAACTCCACCTGCTGAAGTACCTTCTGCACAGCTATTAAAGGTATAGGGACCCTGTGCTCTTCTGTTGACCACTCCATAGGGGAAGCTTGGAAGCTTAAGTAGATAATCTTGTTTGTTTTATTTCACAACATAAATAGGATGGGACTGAAAAGATGGGGTAGGGCCCTGGCATTTTTGGACTTGGCTGTCTAGGTCAGCCAAAATTTGTGGACTCCTGTTTTTATTCTGGAGGTGGCTCCTGTGACACCTGTACTACGAAGGCTGTTGCAAATAGGTTACAGTGGTGCCCCGCAAGACGAATGCCTCGCAAGACGGAAAACCCGCTAGACGAAAGGGTTTTCCGTTTTGGAGGTGCTTCGCAAAACGAATTTCCTATGTGCTTGCTTCGCAAGACGAAAATGTCTTGCGAGTTCCTGCAGGTTTTTTTTCCTTTCCCCCCCTTTTTCCCAAGCCGCTAAACCGCTTATCAGCTGATGGCTAAGCCGCTTATCAGCTGATCTTTAAGCCGCTTAACAGCTGATGCTAAGCCGCTTATCAGCTGATCTTTAAGCCGCTTATCAGCTGATGGCTAAGCGATTATCAGCTGATCTTTAAGCCGCTTAACAGCTGATGCTAAGCCGCTTATCAGCTGATCTTTAAGCCGCTTCTGATCTTTAAGCCGGCTAAGCCGCTAATACTGTAGCGCTAAGCCGCTAAACCTCTAATGGGCTTGCTTCGCAAGACGAAAAAACCCGCAAGACGAAGAGACTCGCGGAACGGATTCTTTTCGTCTTGCGAGGCACCGCTGTACATTTCCTGTAGCTTCTTTTAGGAATAAATTGTACTCAAGTTAATATGTTTACCCCATGTTTTGTTTTTCAGGTTCCAAAGCAGAGAAGCGATCCTAGGAATAGGATTACTTTAGAGCTGGTGGGCTTTGATGGTCCAAAAGACTTTCCAAGGCTCTATGGGAATGCAAACATGCATCTTTATGAAGTCATTCGAGTGAGTATAACAAAAAGAGATTCTCTTATATGTGGATTATACAGGCTATGCTTTGAAACAGAGGACCTTAAATACGTATGAAATATTAATTCCTGTTGTAAAAATATTAATCTCTGCTAGGTGTTTTACATAATCAGTATTGATAAGTTATGTAACACTTTCCCTTAAATTCAAATAAACAATGCATAAAGGTTCCTCTTTCAGTCACTTGGTCACAGTGCAAGATTACTACACTTCTCCATTCTCCATTTGGTGCCAGAGTTTAGGTTCTAAAATTCTAGCTGGGACATCCAAGTCTTTAAGGCAGAATTCAGCTAATTATTCCTGTCAGCAGAAGCCCATGCAAGGATGTCTGCTTGCACAACTGTGCACTCCCCAAAGAAGATTGGTTGGGTAGGTGGGTCTGGAGAACCTCTGGAACAGTGCACAGGATGAGAAGAGCAGGCATCATTCAGTTTGGCAAGCCAAAATGCTTACAATGATGGAACCATCAGAAGAGTGTGACTTTTGGAGACTTAATATTGCCTCCAAATTGAGGAGTGGTACACCTATGAATGTGGGACATGGGTGGCACTGTGGGTTAAACCACAGAGCCTAGGACTTGCCAATCAGAAGGTCGGCGGTTCGAATCCCCGCGACGGGGTGAGCTCCAGTTGCTCGGTCCCAGCTCCTGCCAACCTAGCAGTTTGAAAGCACGGCAAAGTGCAAGTAGATAAATAGGTACCACTCCAGTGGGAAGGTAAACGGCATTTCCGTGCGCTGCTCTGGTTCGCCAGAAGCGGCTTAGTCATGCTGGCCACATGACTCGGAAGCTGTACGCCGGCTCCCTCTGCCAGTAAAGCGAGATGAGTGCCGCAACCCCAGAGTCGGTCACGACTGGACCTAATGGTCAGGGGTCCCTTTACCTTTACCTTTACACCTCTGAATAAGGCATGCTTGGTACAAGTAATAGGGGAAGGCTTAACACTAGAAGACATCTAGTTGACCGCTTTTGAAAACAAAAGGCTAATTTTGGGCTGACCCAGCTAGGCTCTTCTGTATACACTTAACAAACAGATAGCTCACTGATGGTTGTGCATATGCACCAGTTTGTGGAAACCAACCATTTTTGTGTATCTGAGTTACAAATGTGGATTCATAATCAGAATATCCAGAAATACACCTGGCAATTGCAGTCTTTTCTAAACCTGCGGCCTTTCATTTGGAAAGGTTTCTTTCCCGAAGGCCTTTAGGTAGGTATTCTATGCAACAGCCACAGCTCAGACTTTGGTCGCAAAGGGATGGAAGGAACAAGAAGCCACGACAATCACGGACTGGCATTACAAGCTACAAGAATTTGCTGAAATGGCACAGTTAACAAATACCCTGAGAGGCAATTCAAAACAAAAAATTATGGAAAAGTGGGATAGATATAAAACATATGTTCAAAAATACAGTAAAGGTTTGCTGTCTATGCTAGCATTTGATTGACGTTGGAGTGAGACTGAGTTGAGAAAAAAGACTAAGAGCACATAATGATATAGGAATGTATTAGATAAAATGTAAAGAAATATACAATAATAAGAGTACATTCATTTGTAAAAAAGGAATATACAACGGGATAGACAGGAAGGCTAGTGTGTTGGTATGTATATGATTTGGGGGGGATGTTTTTGTTTTTTCTCTTGGTTCTTTTTTTTGTTTCATTTTCTAGGTATATAAAATTTGTAAAAAAAAATTGTATATATGTTGGAAATTATAGTAAGTCCTGTAATGTAATATGACAACGTTTACCAATGTAGTATAAGAATGTTAACAAATAAATAAAATGCAAATTCAAAAAAAAATATGGAAAGATTTGTTTCATGGTCTTTATGTAGTGAACAGTAGAGAAGCTCTCGAATTGTTTGTCTTCTTCTCTCCCATTCAGAAACAGTCCTTCATTGAAACATGTGCTTTTAGAATCAGAAATATGGTAAGACATTTTTGTTAATTGCATATTGCACAATGGTTGTAAAAAAACACAACCCATCTTAATTGTCTCGTCTAATTTGAACTGCAGCTTTGTAATTGAGGGAAAGCTTCAAATCTTTGCACTGTGGATATGTGAGAGGGAAAGGGAGAGACTATTGATTAGAGCTGCTGTCTATAAATCTGGATAATTGAAAGCGAAGCCGCAAGGTTTCTGCTGGTTGTGTTTCAAACCACTCTGGATTACCTGCTGCCAGTCAGTGTAGTAGACAATACTGAGCTAGATGGATCAATGGTCTGACTCAGTATGAGTCATCTTCCTATGTTCTTGTGACCCAGTAAATTTCAGACCCAAGGGAACAAACTCTTCTGTAGCCCTTTTTTCTCTGTAAACATGAAACCGACTTGATTAGAAGCTTTGTGTTTATAAGCAGAGGAGGTTATTGGTAATGAATTTTTGTGCTTATCTTGCTTTTATTGGTGTGTGCATAATTGTAAACATCAGCACAGGAACTCATGGAGACAGCAAGAAAATGAAGAATACTATTATAGTCACAGCCTTGTTTTTTACTGCGTATGTATTTTAAAAGGAGTAATGTCACAATCTGTTGTTCAATATTTTTAAACCACGTTGTTGAACACTTACATTTTAGAGGTTAGCTTTCTGTGGGCTGTGCGGCAGTATTTCACCTTTCAATAACTCCCATTCTTCTTGGACTCCCTTCTCTTTGAGTATTTCTGACTATGAGATCTCACCCAGTAGTTCCTTAAGCTTTTTGAAATCAGCCTTTGTAAAGTCCAGAGTGCATATCCAACTACTCTCAGCCTTCCCTTGTCTGTGTATAATAATAATAATTTTTATTTATACCCCACCCTCCCCAGACAAGGCCGAGCTCAGGGTGGCTAACAAGCAATAATAAAAACAAGTTGAATGATTACAACTTAAAAACAAAATTAAAATACAACATTAAAATATTGAAACATAAAATATTAAAATGTAGCCTCATCGCAGGAGGAGATAGGAAAAGAAAAAAGAAAGAGGGAGGGAATCAAATTGGCTCCAAGCCAAAGGCCAGGCGGAACAACTCTGTCTTTCAGGCCCTGCAGAAAGAAATCAGATCCTGCAGGGCCCTGGTCTCATGAGACAGAGCGTTCCACCAGGCCGGAGCCAGAGTTGAAAAGGCCCTGGCTCTGGTTGAAGCTAATCTAACTTCCTTAGGGCCCAGGACCACTAGGGTGTTGCTATTTATGGACCTTGAGGTTCTTTGTGGGGCATACCGGGAGAGGCGGTCCCGTAGGTACGAGGGTCCTAGGCCATGAAGGGCTTTAAAGGTCAAAAGCAGCACCTTAAATCTGACCCTGTACTCCACCGGGAGCCAGTGCAGCTTGAAAAGCACTGGGTGAATATGCTCCCATGGCAGAGACCCCGTGAGGAGCCTCGCTGCAGCATTCTGCACCCGCTGGAGTTTCTGGGACAGCTTCAAGGGCAGCCCCGCGTAGAGCGAATTACAGTAGTCAAGCCTGGAGGTGACCGTCGCATGGATCACTGTGGCCAGGTAATGAAATCCAAGAGGATATGATCACTTCCTCCCAAAGTTCCCAGCACTTCCACTTCACTGATCAGTTCCTCCCTGTTGGTGAGGACCAAGTCCAGGATAAGATGATCCCCTTGTTGTTTCTTCCACCTTTCCTTCCTTGGGTGCTTATGCAAAAGTTTCCAGACCAACATTAATGCAGCTTCTTTCTTTGGGTCCTGGCTGTAAGGATGCGGAACTGAGCTTGTTATTACTACTTCTGCATAGTTTTCCTTTTTGTTTAATTTCTGTTGGAGGGAAGGACTTACCATTGATTTTTTTTTTAACTCAATAATTCTGTGCTTATTATACCTGTGATCGTTTGCCATAAAATAACTTTAAAATAAATTTGCAATGGGAATTGTTATGCTAAGAAGGGATTTTTATACCTACAGGTGTTCTGCACAGCAGAAGTGGAATATATGTTCTGCTATGGATGTCTTGGATATGGATATTCACATCAGGTCTTGTCTCTCTTTGCTGAAGTAGATAATTTGAATTTGAATCACAAGGCTGAAAGGGACCAGAATATCATGAAGCCTAGCACCCCTCCCATGTACTGTAAATTACTTTCCAGCCCACAGGTCAACTCACAGAATATTATTTGTAGTGTTTTATAGGCAGAGAGTGAGCAAACGAGATTCACCATTCCTTAAACAGTTCCAAATGGTTCAGTAGACATCCTAGGAAAGATTCCTTTTCAGTCTCATATTAATGAGTGAATTCAGGAAGCACCATCAGGTCTATGCTATCCAACATTTTGCCTCTTAAAAATGTTTTCTAACCTAAACTGCCCAAGTTGTTTGTTTGCTTATTTTAAACAAACTTCTGATTGTGTATTACAAAATGAGGCAAGGAAACCTAGCAGTTCAGTATAATTTTACTGTACAGAACAGAGATGAAAATGAGGCCTGTTTTTCAACCGTAAAAGGTTCTATCAGGGTGGGACTAATTCATTCCCAACTAGTCACAAACTGGAAAAGCAAAATGAATAGTGTACACAGACACGTAAAGGGGGGTGGTTACTTTCTCTAATGAGCTAATCACACCCAGACTGGGTGGATGAATGATGGCATTGGGGTACAGCCAATGTATATTTATTGAGAAGTCATCGGTCCTCATGCATGCATGTCTTTTGCAGCATCTACACAACGCCATTGACTTCAAAATGACAGTCCATTTAATCTGGGTTGACCCTTTCTGGAGGAAATACGATAAGGTTTTTAGTTTAATCCACCCAGTTTGCCATTTACCCTGTTGCAATATCTCAGTGATATGTTTGCCATTTAAGCCCCTGTTGCAATATCTCAGTGATATGTTTGCCATTTAAGCCCCTATCCGGAAGCCACTCTTGCTTTTTGAGACAGAACTTTCAGCTCCTTTCAAGCCTCCATTGAAGTATACGTCTACTCTTCCCGGCTTGCCATTAATTCTGTCTCCCATAGAGACAGCCAGATAATAACCCATGAAAAGGGTCTACAATTCCATAACAGCTCCTTGTGAGTAGGAACAGAATTGCAAGAATACTTCGGACAATGAGTAGCTATAGGAACTTTGCCTGTCTCCCATGCATCAGGGGATAGAGAGACTATTGGAGTTCATGGAACATAATCTGAAGTACCACTTTATGCTATGTTTTATTAGCTATCCCAGCATTCATCCTTATTGATTGTCATAAATGGCTTTGTTTTGCAGCTGAAACTGCCAGGTGCGGATCCTGCAAAGGCTGTGGCATATTCCATGTTTCTGCGGGTTCCCCCTCCAGAAGACAGAAGAGACACTATAAGGCAACAATTCTTGACATCTAACTAGATTTGTTTCAATATGTAATGGACTCTGTTTTATAATGCTATGCATACAGTCAGTCATATGTTTTAGAATTGGAACCACATGGTGATAGCTAACATTAGCCATACTCAGAGTAGACCCATTGATTTAAGACCACTGATTTCAATGTGCCTACTTAGCTGGGTATCACCCACAGGGTTTTGGATGTATGCAGATATGAGGGTCTGTTTACATCTTACGGTGGAAATGAGTTCCAATGTCAAATTATGGGATTCCAATAGGATGTATCCAGCTAAGTCATACTCAGACCCATTGAAATCAGTGGATCTACTTTGAGAATGACTTGGTCAGATACAGCACAATAAATATTCTGTCTCACACACTCTCCTTTCATTAGGTATATGTGAAGACTTGGGAGGGCGCAGTTCTTGGGCAAAACCCTAGCAGCACTAGGCAACCCCAAAGTCTATGTGAAACAAGGATTTACCTGAATGTTGCCACGGAAATTTCTGATGTATTCTGGTTTTGTCTATCATAAAATCTTAACTCTAGAACACTTACCTTATGTCTGAAAACTACCAGATTACTACACCAAACCAGGATAATCTGCTCCACAGGTGGGGCAAGGCTGCTGGTGTATTTTGCCCACAGATGCTGCCCCTGTGCCCCACTTTTGTTTTTCCCAGCTCCCTCCCCTCTCTTACCTCTGGCTGCTGTGTGTCTGCATCTGTGTGTGAAAGAGTGAAGGGGGACAGTGCATGTAAGTGCAAGCCCACTGCCAAATGCTGCCCTTAGTCCACCCCCGCTGCCTTCGCAAAACAATTTAAGCCCATAAGTTACAGCGCAGTGTGCAGCAGCCAAGTTTCAGAGACTCTTCCCTGGGCGCTTCCAGGCTGTTGCTATTTTTGAGTGGTGTATCAGCAAAGGGCTTGTACACCTTTACCTTTTGCCCTGCTCTTTCCAGGGACAGGCCCACACTTTAAAACCCTGTGTGCAAGCGCTGTGTTTTTCTTTTTGCCCCAGAGCTTTCCCCACAAGAGCTTCTCCCTGCTCTTTAAAACTGAATTGGAGCAAACAGTGATTCAGGTTTTCCATGGATTATTGTTTGCTCCGATTCAGCTTTAAAGAGAAGGTTTTCACAGGGAAAGATGGGGGGGGGCACTTGGACATGGAACTTTGCAGTGGAGACTGTGTCAGGAAAGGTGCCTGGATAAGGTTGTGCGATTAAAGCAGAGTTTGTTCTTGTTCAAAACAAACCTTCTCCCCAAAATCTGACTTTGTGATAAGGATAAATGCACTGGAAAGTGAGGATAACATTTGCTAGATGCAATGTCATATAACCTCACTACAGACAAATCAAAATGACTGCTCAGTAAAAAGCTGATGTTGTCTAGGCTCCTCACAGACTTTGTGCCAACAAATCACGATGAATACTCAATAAACAGGTAGACTGTGTATAAGTTCTGGTTTGTATGGTTCCAATTGGTGGCTGAGGGAATAGCCACATCCCAAGGATGCTACAAGGTTTTATATTTCACACAAGACTCCCCACTTGTGTCCAGTGAAAGAAACCTTCTTTTGAAAAGTCCTTACCTGGCTTCCTGTTTCAGCATTTGGCAGTGGCGCTTAATGGATAAAGTTTTGTTCGTCAGCAAAGAAATGAAATTCTTGTCTAACTTTAACATACAGTCATGAGACATCAGACCTCCACAAATCTGGTAGTGTCAAAGGAGCAACTGCTCCCTGCCCTCCATGAGCCGTGCTGTACCCAGACTGTTGAGAATTGCAAAGATTCAGCCACACACCCGTGAGTGCTCTGCAAATTGCAGAGCACTCAGGTCAAAAATTTCTTCTTGCCTGCTCCAAAGCTCGCCTTAGCATGAACCCTAATATGCTCCTTCGCTGAAACAAAAAGGATGTATATATAAACCCAAATAACCTTCCCTTCTCCTTAACATTTTTTACTTATTTTCCAAAAAATAATAATATTGGTTTTCACAACATTATAAACAAACACATAAGACAAACAAACATAAATCATAGCCTTATTGAAAATTATTAACATTGTTAAGTGACTTCCTCGTTTCCCCTTGGTTGAATTTCATTGCATATCCTTTTAACGGTTTTCCAAATCACAGTTCTTATAAAATTTAACTTAAACATTAACATCCTTAGATCTTCACTTTATGAAATTAAACATATTAATTCATCACTTAACATAAATAAAATCCTAAGCCAATTAAGTATCTGCAAGCTGTTTTCAGTTAATTTGACTTAACATATTTAACTAAGTAATCATTAAATTTAATCCACTCTTCCTGATACTCCTCCTCCTTCTGGTCGCGGACTAACATTTTTTACTTCTGAATCAAAATCGTATTAAAACTTATTTTTCTTGCAAATATATAGGGGACTTCAGCAACAAGGGTGACCATCAGAGTAGCAGCCCATGTAGCAGGGTGAAAGGGGGGGAATCTTTCCATTGTGATTATCTCCACAGGCAACATTTGAATGCCTTAGTTTTTCTTTTCTCTCCCCCCAGCAATGCCATCAAGCCACTGCGCCTGGATTACCCTGCATTCTTATCTCCAGACTTGAATGTTTCAGTGGCAAAGATTCATCTGGAGAAACCAAAACCTTCAGAGCACTACAAAAGCCTTCAGGAGGCTTTGCATCAGCCACCCCGAGAAAGGCAAGGACGTAGGCAACAGTTTTTTTAAAAAAAGTATATATTAATGTATCTAACATTTGTTATACAGTGGGGGGGGGGAGTATTTGATCCCCTGCTAAATTTGCCTGTTTGCCCTCTGACAAAGAAATGACCAGTCCATGATTTTAATGGTAGGTTTATTGTAGCTGGGAGAGACAGAATAACAACAGGAAAACCCCCAGAAACCCAGAAGACAAAAGTCAGAGATTGATGTGCATTATAATGAGTGAAATAAGTGGTCCCTCAGCACTACATTCTGGAAATAGCCCTCCTTGCAGGAGTGGAACGATCTTGGTATGGGTGCTGCCATCCTAGAAGCTGAACCCTGTTCAGAAGCAAACCATGGTCAAAGGCAGCCAAGAGGCCTAGGAGAATTAATAAGCTGGCACTTAGGTCATCCTTTTTGGGCAGCCTGTGCAGTTTCTGTACCAAAGCAAGACATTTGAAATTCGATTGATATGGTTCCAGATAATTTCATGGAAAAGTGGCTGGCGGTGGCTGGGATTTCTGATCTGACATTACTGATCACAGTCTTTCTTTTATACATGGTAGGTTTAGTTGTTAATAGCATCCTCTAATGTTTTCATCTATTATCATAGTTGAAAAATACTATAGGACAGTTAATCTGAGGCTGCAAGCCTAGCCCTGGGAGCAAACCCCATTAAATCCAGTAGAATTTAGACATGGTTAAGATTGTGTTGTAAATTATCAGCCGCATTATCTATAAACAGTTAAGTAAGAGCAACAAAAAAAATGGCTTTAAAACAGATCTGTTCCAATAACTTCAGTAGTATTGGTCTACTTTCCCTCCAGGTAATAGCTTATTGCAAGATTTGTGAAGTGAACTGGTAGTTGCAGTAGAGTTGAAGGGGGCTTAGCTTCAGCTATTTCAGTTTAACTTCACCATGGATTGTATAAACATGTAATGTAATTTTTTTTGTTAGCTGATGGCAAAGAAATATGCATATTGGATATTTCAGTACTATTAAACTATTCCCCCCCCCCCTGCTCTTTAGACTGGAGAAACTGAAAACTGAATATCGGAATCTAAAAACATGGCATGAAAAGGCAGATTATTTAGATCAACTGATCTTAAAAAAGGGACCAAAAGTAAAACCAGGCCAAACAAAGGTAATTTCCTTTTCAAAGAAAGACAAATAACGTGCAACTGACTAGGGGCAAAACCTCATAGGAAAGGCAGTTGTTTATTTTTCATTTTTATACAAAGGGGAAGAATTATTATTTATTACGTAACCCAAAAGCAATTGCAGGCCGCTGAAATGGGAAGTGGAGGTCTTTTTTTAAAAAAAAGTATTAAAGGTTTTCTTGAGGTACAAAAGAACATGCAGTGTCTCTGTTTTCCTTTCATAGAATCTTTTCTACAGATGAGTTATATTCGATGTGAGACACTAATGTTATAGACAGTATAAGGTTGGGGAAGAAGATTGGTAGTTAGAGAAAAGGAAGGAAGGGTTGTTTAGCACTTTCTCCTGCTATTTGTTGACTCGGAGATCCTGCTCGCCAGCTTTTCTCCTTGTGGGCGAATACCGTATTTTTCGCCCCATAGGACGCACCTTTTCCCCTCCAAAAATGAAGGGGAAATGTGTGTGCGTCCTATGGGGCGAATGCAGGCTTTCGCTGAAGCCTGGAGAGCGAGAGGGGTTGGTGCGCACCGACCCCTCTTGCTCTCCAGGCTTCGTGCAGATCTCCGTAAGCCATGGGAGCCCGCGCCCTAACCCTGCACTGGGCTCCCACGGCTTGCGGAGAGTTGCCTGTTCTGGGGGCTGGGGTCGGGGGAAGCTCGGGCTTCCCCCGCCCTAGCCCCACGCCTGGGGGGAAATAAAAAATTTTCCCTTTATTTCCCCCCCAAAAAACTAGGTGCGCCTTATGGGACGGTGTGTCCTATAGGGCGAAAAATACGGTAGGTACAGTACCTGAGAGGATGAGAAAAAATAGAACAGCCCTGCCACATGTAGGCCTCCAGAAATCCCCTGCTAAAAGTACAGGAGCCCAGTCATCTTCTGCAGTCGGCCACCCTAATTAAGAGTCTCCTCCAAAGTGCTACTTCCCTTTCCCACTGCATTTTTTATAGCTTCCCATCCAGCACGACAAATCACAATTTGATTTAATTGTTAAGGCTGTTAAGTGGCAATCTTGGAAACAAGGCAAAATTCCAGTCCCAATGCTAATTATCACAGGAAGGAGAATGGTCTGTACTTGAAAGCACTGTATGCCTATTTCTAACTCCTCTCCCCTCCCTATCAGGTATCTCGCTTCAAGGAAGCTGTTGGGAAAATACAACGCCCTCAAGCATCTACGGTTTATACCTCCTCAGGTTTAGTGAACACTCAAATATTTTCCTATTCATCTTGAGCGGAGACTAGAAGGGCCAGTGGGTTAATTTTCTAACCTTTACAGTGCAGCATATACAGTGGTACCTCAGGTTAAGTACTTAATTCGTTCCGGAGGTCCGTTCTTAACCTGAAACTGTTCTTAACCTGAAGCACCACTTTATCTAATGGGTCCTCCCACTGCTGCCGCGCCGCCGGAGCACAATTTCTGTTCTCATCCTGAAGCAAAGTTCTTAACCCAAGGTATTATTTCTGGGTTAGCGGGGTCTGTAACCTGAAGCGTATGTAACCCGATGTACTACTGTACTGGTATTTGCAAAAGTTCCAACGTTCAATATTACCTTGTGTGAAAATGAGGGAGGGGGGAGAATTGCCCCATGGCTGTTGACAGAAGACGTTCAGTCCACCAAGTTCCTCCCCGGAAGTCCTGACCAATTGATTACCATATTGTCACTCAAGGTGACAGCATGGAGTGTTTGAACACTGAAAAGGGACTGCTTTTTAAAGAGGATGCCTATGAACTTCAATGCACTTACGAGTTCATGGTGCATAACCATAATGTGCGTTTGCATTAAAAAAAGATCCATAAAGCATTTATCCAGCATAAGGAACTTGGTGGTCTTGCTATGCAACTAGTATTTCCTTCTTTAGTTTCTTACAATATAACTTTCTAAAAATTTCTCCCACCACCTGCAGCTTCAGAGGTAATGTCTCATGAAAACATAAGCTCATTCGCCGGAGAAGACATGAAGGTGTGTGTTATTGATAGATTGCTTCATAAAATTACACCACTGTGGTACCCCTACAGCTAAAGAGGTTACTGTCAATCACACTCCCACATATTTTTGAAACTATAGTATATGTGCAGGGCCTTATATGTACAGGACTATAGTGTATGTGGGGCTAAATGCATCTCTCTCTGGTCCTCAGAACTCTCAGTGCCCATTGCCCCAGACCACACCTCAACAGCCCTGCTTGACTGCTTTTGTCTGGCTGGAATGGGCAATAATGCTTTAATGGATGGAGAGATGGGTGTGCAAAAGCTAGGGGTGTCAGAAGGCATTGTTTTCTGTCCTTCCCTGTGTTTACTGCATGCCGCGCTGTTTCTGTTCTACTGCGTTTTGTCTTCCACCCAAAACCACGTTATTTGCCCCGCTGGCTGTCCACTTTGGCAAAATTACTGTATTTTTCGCTCTATAGGACGCACTTTTTCCCCTCCAAAAATTAAGGGGAAATGTGTGTGCGTCCTATGGAGCGAATGCAGGCCCCTTGGCTTCAGCGATAGCAACGTGAAGCCTCCAAAGCGCAGAGGGAGCGCTCCGAACCCTCTCGCTCTCCAGGCTTCAGGGATAGCCGCCTGAAGCCTTTGGAGCGCAGCGGGAACTCACGCTCCGCTCCGAAGGCTTCAGGTTCCTTTTGCTGAAACCAGGAGAGCAAGACTCTCCCGGCCTAAGCAGAGAGGGAGAGCTGCGCAGCGCCCCTTCAGCGAAGCGGGAGGAGAAATGGAAGGGGCTCTGTTTCTCCTGCCACTTCGCTGAAGGAGCGCTGAGCAGAGAGGAGGAGAATTTTTTTTTCTTGTTCTCCCCCTCTAAAACAAGGTGCGTCCTATGGTCGGGTGCGTCCAGTAGAGCGAAAAATACGGTGCATGACTTTACATCATATATCTCGTTGAGATTCCTGCATTGCAGGGGGTTGGACTCGATGACACTCGGATGACCTTCCATCTCTACAGTTATCTGTGATTCTATAAGTACTGTAATTAATTACGTAAATTGCCTACGCGGTGTTGGCATTGCGTTATTCCACTCCATTTCAGTGCAAAAGGATCACAGTGCAAACATGGGGGGAAAGTAACATAACCAGTTATGTATCATTTATGGGCTGAAGGCAACAACAGTTGCATTTGCTGAACTGTTTTCTGTTCCGGACTTGGAACTGTTGAGGAAACGTCAGCCATTCCCATTTATGTTTTCATTTGAGTTCTCCAACACCCTGGTAGAAACTTTTGACTTTGGTATGGCTGGAACATTGCTTCTGCCTACTTCTGCCTCTTGCCTGTCCCATGCAGCCCTCAGGTGGTTGCCTATAGGGCCTTTGAGGTTCCCCACCTTTGAACTATAGAAATAGCAGCAACACCTGAAATAGGTAAAATGCTAGAAAGAGGCTCTTGTGGCTTTTTAAACCACCTGTCCCTTTTTAAATGAATATTGGCTACACCACCAGAAGGGTATGTCTTAAATAGTATCAAGATTGTAATTTTCTTTTAATTTGTGAAATAATTCCTCTTCCTACTGGTCAGCGTTTGTTTGTTTGTTTGTTTATTTGTTGTTGTTGTTTTGCTGGTATATTTAAATTAGCCTATAAATCACATTACTGAGTAGGCGTTGTTGTAGCCCAACAACATTTAATCACAGCCAGCTGCACATTCAGAAATAAGACATGATTGACTGTATCACTTCAGACTGAACAAAGGATAAAATAAATCACATTCAGAATGCCCCTGACTTTAGAAAATTATCTCTGCATGTAGAAAATTAGTACAACCGGGAGAGAGGTTCCATCCCACCTTGCTCCCTGATGGTTATTTTTCTACATTCAGGGAGTTGTGGAAGCATTGAAGCAATAGTCTCCCCTCTTGCGGTCTTAAAATGGTAAATCCCGTAAAGAGCTCTGTCGTGTGATACTGCTTGCTATGTAGATTTCTTTATTTTTCTTGAAATTTCGATTCCTTTCTTCAAATGTCTATGTAATACTTGCTGTACAAGCCCAGAGTTTTTGTGATATTGCTCTAACTTCACCTGTCTCCTTTCATACATATCAAGGGTACCATATCCTATTCTGTTGTACAGAAATTCCTAGCATTAAAGAAGCATGAAATAATTTCTAGCATTCCCTACTTAGTTACTCTCCGTTTGTATTAATTCAACGATGAAATGCCAAATTGATGGAGCCCTGAGTCTTGCCAAGTAGTGTTGAGGAGCTGACATCGATCTGTCTGAAGAGACAATGGAGTGCGCTATTAGGGGTGAAGTCAAACGGCTGGAGAATCACAGCGCCTGCTGTGGTTGCAGAGACCAGTAACTCTTAACTGCTGCCTCCGGTATTGCTTTCGCTGCATCAGCAGCAACACAGTGACCTCCTTGGGGGGCAAGCCTGAGCAGTGTCTGTGTGTGGAGGTCCTGGCCTGCGCAGATGACCACCTCCTGTGATCTCACTGATGTGGTCCAAAAGAAAGCAGAGCAATATGTTTGGCACCAGACTGGCTGCAGGAGTTGCTGGAAGGAGGCGTACAAGGCGCCATCCAACCATAGCTGTCAACTGTCCCTTATTTGGCGGGAAAGTCCCTTATCCCAGTGCTGTGTCCTGCTGCTGTCCCTTATTGATGATGTCCCTTAAATTTCCTGGGTTTCAAAGGAAGCAGCTCCTCTCCCTCCCTCCCTGCTGGCCAGGGAGGAGGGAGGCTCCAACTGTGTTGCTTGGCTGCGTTGCTCACCCAATAAGGAGTCTAAGAACGACTGGGGGGTGGAGCTTGCATGCCTTGTGCTGATCAAATCAGCCGCGTTGCTTGGGGACTCGCCTTTGCTCAGCGCTTCCCAGCGGAGAGGTGACGGTGGTTTTCCTTGCTGCATCCCCTTTGCCGGGTTGCTGCACTGTGGAAATCACCACTTGAGGCTTCGTTTGGCTGCTGGCTGGGTTTTCTGCCTTTGGCTTGGAGGGGCTCAGAAGTTGAACATACCTGTGCTAGGAAAATCCCTTATTTTGGCTGCTGATCCCTTATTTTCAAGGCTGCTGGTCCCTTATTTTCAAATCTAAGTTGACAGCTATGCATCCAAACATCGCGGGGATTCCACTCCAGATTTGTGTAGGGTTTACTCCTTAGCATTTTCTTCTCCCGCAGATGTACCGCAAGACAGTAGATACAGATTTTCCCTCTGGGTTTACTCCCAAAGTCTTTTTCATAGAATCGTAGAATCGTAGAGTTGGAAGGGATCCTGAGGACCATCTAGTCCAACCCCCTGCAATGCAGGACTATGTAGCTGTCCAAAGAAGGATCGAACCTGCAACCCTGGCATTATCAGCACCATGCTCTAACCAACTGAACTCTTCTGCATGAATGAGTATGGCCACAAGGCAGTGGAGGTCTAGGATCATAGTTGTCCTTCTCCTAGATGGGCTACCTTCCCAGGTTGTCGAGCCCCTTCTGCCCCTCACTTCCCCCAACAACACGTGCAGAAGCCACCTTCTTGACCATTGGACTCACTATTGGTCTTGTACACTCAATGTGCCAGACCCTGTATTCGCATGCAGGAGACCCATTGGCTCCCTTCACTTGGTTTAGCCGGCCAGTCGAAGCCGTTTGCAGCTGATTTTGCATGCTGACTGCTTGTAGGGGCCACAGGTGAGAACTGAGTGCAGGGTGGGGACCAAAGGTGGACATACCACCCAAGAAGGAGCACAATGTGTCCCCTTCCAGAGGTACGAGCCATATACCCCAAGCAGTGTATACCGTATTTTTCGCTCTATAAGACGCACCAGACCACAAGACGCACCTAGTTTTTGGAGGAGGAAAACAAGAAAAAAAATATTCTGAATCGCAGAAGCCAGAACAGCAAGAGGGATCACTGCGCAGTGAAAGCAGCAATCCCTCTTGCTGTTCTGGCTTCTGGGATAGCTGTGCAGCCTGCATTCGCTCCATAAGACGCGCACACATTTCCCCTTACTTTTTAGGAGGGAAAAAGTGAGTCTTACAGAGCAAAAAATACGGTATTTCATTGAAATTAAGACCAGTAGTTATAAAAAGACTACATTTTAGTACACTAGTGTTGGTGATGATTATTGTCATTTGCAGAAATGGACAAGTCAAATGTCTGCTCTCTCATCACGACCTTCTGGACCTGTGCCATCCCGCAGAAACTTATTTTCATCAGAACAGATTCCTCAACCTGCTGAAACAACCCCACCTGTCCCAGCGCTGACTGTAACCCCTAACCCTATGAGTTCTCCAGTATCTTCAGATGGAGAGAACATGAAAGACATGGTTGTAAGAGAACAAGTTCATCCTGACTCTTCAGATGGAGAGAATATGAAGGACATAGTTGTAAGAGAAAGACTTCATCCTGCGTCTGAAACCTCTCTGTCAAGTTCCGTTGGAAGCGCAGCAAAAACTTCTGAGGCTAGGGATTCAGAAAGCCTTGCTTCTTTAGGTCATGAGAGGAAAGTGACAGAAGAGGAAATACCTGTCATAGTCAAAAAACCACCTATTAAAGAATATCTGCCAGTACCAATACAGGTAGCTGATGGTGATATGTAACATATTGTTTCACTTTCCCCTCCCCAGGGGATAATGTGGGTTATTCAGCTTACTTCTTCTCTAATGGGCAAGCTGTTTGGAGCTTTGAGGTTACCATTCTTGCTCTTTTGAAGCCATAGCATATACAGTGGTACCTCGGGTTAATTACTTAATTCGTTCCAGAGGTATGTTCTTAACCTGAAACTGTTCTTAACCTGAAGCACCACTTTAGCTAATGGGGCCTCCTGCTGCTGCCGCGCCGCCAGAGCAGAATTTCTGTTCTCATCCTGAAGCAAAGTTCTTAACCTGAAGCACTTTTTCTGGGTTAGCGGAGTTGGTAACCTGAAGCGTATGTAACCTGAAGCGTATGTAACCCGAGGTACCACTGTAATTAATAGATGCATACTTACAGTGGGGTCAAGGGTAGCAACTGTAATGATGATCCAGCTGTGCCACATCAGACTTTTACTGTAAATATGCTGTACACTAAGGGATTCTCCAGACAATCTGTTTGTTGGTACAGTGGTACCTCTGGTTGCAAATGGGATCCGTTCTGGAGCCCTGTTCGCAACCTGAAAGGAACGCAACCCAATTCGCCGCTTCTGCGCATGCGCGTGACGTCATTTTTCGCATCTGCGCATGCGTGAGAGGTGAAAGCCGGAAGTAACCCTTTCCGGTACTTCCAGGTCACTGCGGGACACAACCTGAAGCAAACGTAACATGAGGTATGACTATTCATCTGGATTTGCTTGCAGAATACTTAAGCGGTGATTAGACTATAGACGCTTTCAGGCTTTTTCAGTCACATACCAGTGCAAATTCTGGTTGTGTACTTGGGGTGTCTTGAGCAACAAAGCCCACATCCCCACAAAGATAATACTTTTTGCAGTAAGGAAATTGACAGGAAAGTAACTGGAAAATGTGGGCAGCACTTGCTTTGACACAATATTGTCTAGCTTCCCTGCCAACAAATCAGGATAAATGCTCAATAAACAGGTCATCTGTTAGTGCCCTGACTCAGGTCTTCACTGAGCATTTGTTCCTATTTTTTGAGGGTTATTCGACAATGAGCATTCATCCTGATTTACTTGCGGTGTTTACGTGTCTTCCTGTTAACCACCCATTCATCCCACCCTTTGCAGTGAATGTCCCAGTCACTTTCCAAACAGCAAAATGTCCAACTGGCAGGAAGATTTGTTAAAGTAGAACCTTTTGAGCCTGTGAAAATGGGAATTTGCTCCATTCTGACCGACTTTGCACGGTGATGTTCTACCTAGCTGCACTCTGCCAGCAGAAGTTCTTTTGCACACTCATTTTGCATTCTTACTGTTACAATGATTTATAAGAGTGAATAACTATTTTTTTGTCTTCTTCTTGATGTATCCCCTCTGAAATTACAAAGGAATCACAGCCTAAGTCTGAAGTTTCTGTGAGTGTCTCACCTCAGTTTGTGGCACCTCCTAGACCATCAGGTAAATTGACATAACTTTTCGAATAGTAATCATCAGCTTCCAGTTGGTTTGGGTTCTATATAAAATAAAGCAAAACATGATATGCCAAGGACCAAAAGGGGGGGAAAAGGCTTTTCACAAGTTCACAACCTACTTTTAAAACCTCGCTTGGCCTGGTGCTTGGGTTCAAGAAACAAAAAGAATATCGCCTATAGGAAGCCAACAAACTTTTGTTAAATATGTATACTGTGTGTTGTCTCTATGACCATATTTATGCAAAAAACTCAGCGGTTGTCTAGTGGGCAAACCTCAACAACTCTGAGCAAAGTGTGAAGCTTTTCCCCCCAAGGAAAAACTTCTCGCAAGAAAAAGATTAACAAATAAACTAGCACTAGGCTGAGGAGAAAAGTACAAGGGAGCTCTGGTGAATGTGATCGTCAACCCGGGGCGGTTCCACTATGAAATTAATGAAGCTTAAGATTCAGGACTCCTAATTCTAGAGAACTACAGTCCACATTGCTTAAAAAATGTGGGTCTAGTGGGTCTTTTGTTATATATATTTCAACAATCCCAAGTTTGAGAGTCAGTAGCACAGATGTTGTAGAGGTGTGGTGGTCTGTCGTGGAACAATCCCACTGAATAAGTTAACAGCGGTTACCCAAACCTCGTTGCTGGTTGTGAAGGGTTCCCCATGACAGTTCAAGCCTTAGGGCCCCCAAGATGTAAGTCCACCACTGCCGTTGACAAAGGCAGGAGCGAACTGCATCATGAGAACAGCCTACTTCCTAAAGTGTTCCTCCTGCCTTCACCCTGCACTTTGAACCAGCACCCAACCTGAGAGCACTGCAATGTCAGTGAGTACTGTATTTTTCGCTCCATAAGGCGCACCGGACCATAAGGCGCACCTAGTTTTTAGAGGGGGAAATAAAGAAAAAAAAATCTTATTCCCCCCCCCCAGCCCCAAAGAGCAGCGGACAGGCTTCTGGGGCTGCCGGGGGAAGCCCGGGTTCCCCCAACCCCAAAGAGCAAAGAAGCCAAGACAGAGAGCAGGATCCATCCCGCTCGCTGTCTTGGCTTCCTCTTTAGCCGCGCGCAGCCTCTCCCTGCAGGAGGGGCTGCGCACGGCTAAAAAAGCCAAGACAGTGTTGCTTTCACTGAAGCCTGGAGAGCGAGAGGGGTTGGTGCGCACCGACCCCTCTCACTCTCCAGGCTTCAGGGATAGCCGCCTGAAGCCTTCGGAGCGCAGCGCGAGTTCCCACTGCGTTCCAGAGGCTTCAGGTTCTTTTTGCTAAAGCCAGGAGAGCAAGACTCTCCTGGCTTCAGCAGAGAGGGAGAGCTGCGCAGCGCCCCTTCAGCCAAGCGGGAGGAGAAATGGAAGGGGCTCTGTTTCTCCTGCCGCTTCGCTGAAGGGGCGCTGAGCAGAGAGTGGGAGAATTATTTTTTCTTCTCCCCCTCTAAAACAAGGTGCGTTGTATGGTCCGGTGCGTCCTATAGAGCGAAAAATACGGTGACTCGTTACTCAAATGATTTGGTCTATTTTGCTGGGGAGTGTTGTGCATTATTAATTTACACTACATAAAATTAAATACCAGATTTCACAACTAAAAATTTGTTGCTGTTCCATTTGTTGCTTTTTAATATTTTATTTTTCTTGCTGATCCATCCTAGATTCAGTTGTTGAACCAGTACAGCAATTGCCTTGGAAATCTATGGTAAGGAATAACTCGTTAAGCACTGCTCCGATAGCATATAATACAGTTAAGTGGATTTGGTGATGTCTGTGTAGTGATGGCAGCATCATGCAACGTTTCTTATCTACCTCATTAGTTCGTGATCTGTTGCAGAAAACAGCACGAGGAGTTGGTACAATCTGGCTTCCTATCATTCCCTGCATCTGATTATATATCCACTTGCCAGGGATAGTACCTCTTTAAAAGACACTTTGGGTTCATTTGGAAAATGTTTTGTGCTGACACAATTGTCACTTTTGTTTTAACTTTGATTTGGTTGTTCATGCAAAACCAGCATGCAGACTTCCTTAAGTGCAGTTTGCTTACCACCAGCCCAGATGGCCAGACTGCAGTTTTATGTGCACACCTTTGAACGTACATCCTATTGAATTCACAAAGAACTAGTTCTGAGTAAACATGCAATAACACTGTGCAGTAGAAATACCTTCACATGCACCTTCTAAACTCATTTTTCTGTGCACAGCCTATTAGCTCAGTGCTGAGGCTGGCCGTTGTCTTGTGCCTGGGGATGGTGGCTGTTGGACATTCAGCAGTACTAGCAGATGATGTCAGCACTGATCAGGACTGGCTTGTGTCACCAATACTGTGGGAGGAAATATGTGAATTCCTGTGACTCACACATGTGGGGTAAAGAGCAAAAGAATCAGCTAGGTGCCTGGATTCAAAACATGGGGCTAAATCACTCTCCAGCAAGAGAAAGCCCTCAGTAGCAGAGTTTAAGCTCACAAAGTCAAGCAGTTAGGAATGTAGGCTGTTAAACCTTTTGCATATCCCATTTAGTTCGCTAGCAAAGCACTCTTCTCTTTCCACCCTCTGGCAGTGAACAGACCACACCATTAGTAAGTTTGAATGCTTTAATTACAAATTCCCAAGGTCTGATTTATGCGTTATTCCATGCAGCAGCAAGAACAATGCGGGTAAAAAGTATTGGGTAGAAAATACAGAGCTAGCTTCAAACACATGCTTGTAAGCTTGGAGCAAAGCTTAAAGACATCCTTCTTTGTAGGTTACATAGTGAGAAGAGAGTGACAACAGAAAGAGAAGGCACGATCTAGCTAGATATCTAACTCTGTGGTCTTAACCCCTTCATTCACTAACTAGCAGCCATACATAGTTATGTTTGACTGCAATTTCTCCCAGATATAACATCATCATAGGATAGCACTTGTGCAGGTGCCATTCCCCATCCAACAGCCTCTGTTGCTTATCTGCTAGCATGCATATGACTGCCCAGCTGAAAATATAACCTGTCTCCTTTATTCCCTGACTTCAGAAATTAGAAATAATGTTTATACTGGTAGGATATATACTATATTACTAATATATTGTTTATATGCATTTTTTCTATTTATGCTCTTCATTTTGTTGTATTATCATAAACATCTGACCAATAAAATTTATTCATTTGAAAGCCTCTTGTTAAAAAGCCTGTTCCCAAGACCCGGGGTGGGGGGTGGGGAGAGATGAGCACAGTACCCAACTGCAGAGGAATTTCCAAAACCCACATAACTCCTCTGTTCATCTTGCAGCTTTCATTTTTCATAATTATGCCCTCTCTCCCTTTTTTAAATTACAGTTCCAGGAAGCGGTTTTTAGTGGAAACAAGTTTGAACCATTCTTGAGAAGTGTCAGTAAAGTACAGCCTCCGCCACCTATTTTTGGCAAAGGGGATGTCGGCCCTTTAGAAAAAACGTACCCATCTGATGCTAACAAAGAACGAGAAGACCAAGATCCACCTGATGGGATGTCATTGACAAAAGTGGCGAGTGGTCTGGACACTAAATTAATCAAGAGCAGCGGGGAGCTTTCTATACTAAGGCTTATAGAAAGAAAAATGGATTTAGAAGAGGAGGATCAAAAACGTGGCATGCAGGATGAAAAGGCCTCGGAACCACTCGCTGTGACATCGGGTTCTTCTGAGAAGACACTAGAAGATAAACTAGCAGAACAAGCAGAAATAAAACAGGTTGAAATTTCCTTTGAGAAGTCTCTTGAAGACGTGCTTGCTGATAAACTTGTAAAAGTCGTAGCAGTGTCGTCGATTTTAAGCAAAAACCTTGAAAACATCGTTGCGGAGGGACTCTCAGAAGCAAAGCTGTCTGAAACGCTGGAGGATAGCAGTTTGCCAGGGGATAATAAATGTCTACCTGAGGAAAGAAAGATGTCTGGAGAGAAGGTTGCAGAACCAGATGTAACAAAACTGACAGCTGCTGTAAGTCAAAATTTGCAGGCTCATCTTATAGACAAATTGTGTGAAGAGGGGATAATCACAGATACAGATCTACCTGAAAAAGACCAGATAGTGTCTTTTCCAATTACTGCTGATTTGCTCAAGAGGAGGAAAAGCTTATCCAGGGAAAGCATGTCACAAACTGAAATAACAACACTAAAATCACTAAGTGAGCATCCATCAAGAACCACTATCAAAGCTGAATCCGTACAGCATAGTAAAGAAAGTAGTAAGGAAACTATTAAAGAAAGCAGTAAAGAAAGCGAGTTAGTAGTTACAGGGACAGGTTTATCTGAAAGCAAAATAGATGGTGATAGAGAGGCTGCTTCATATCCTAAAACTGACAGTAGTTCAGTTGAACAAACAAATGCAAAGACAGACTTAAGAAAAGAACCCTCTAAACAGTCACTGGAAATCATTAGAGTAATGTTACCTGTGAACACAGACACAGATAACATTAAGCAGCGACTTTCCATTCACGATGCTCTCCTAGAAAAAATTTTAAAAGCAGAAATAAGAAGTTTGAAATCACTTTTAAGCAAAGAACACCAAGATCACTTTAAAGATCAACTTTCAGCAGCTGGATTAAAGGGAGAAGACTTGAAAACAGTGTGCCGGAAGTTGTCCTTGGCTGTGAAAGGGGATGACAGTGTTACACCAGAGAAGGCTGCGCTGCAAGAATGGCAGAATTCCTCTAGTGAGGGCCTTGCTAAAGAGACATTGGCGGTAAATGAAAGTATTCAAAATCTCTTTGAAGTGCTTTCAGAAAACGAAATTGCCAACCTAAAGAATGCATTGAACAAAAAGATTCAAGACCATCTTTCAGACAGACTTTCAAAAATAGGAATGATCACAGAGAGTGAGTTAAAGAGAATACTTGGAAACTTGTTTCCAGTAGTGGAAAAACTAGCAAAGACTGATGAAGGCTCAGACGAGCAAAGTACACAACTAGATACTCAAAGCCTGCATGACAGGTTTTCGGAGGAAGAACTACAAAATCTAAAGTCTCTCTTGAGCAGACTTCTAAATGAAGGCCACCGAGACAAACTTTCAGATTCAGAAGTACAAGGTTTAACATCAGTTTTAGAGAAAAGCTTTGAGGATCTTCCCATACAAAACAGTTCTGAAACTGGGATAAGCCAAGAAGTTGAGATAAAGGATGAATGCCGTACTATATCTCTGCCAGATGTTGAGGAAAGTCAGAGAGTTAGTAAGACAGATGTATCTGAGAGAGGAAAAGTTCCTTCAAAGGAAAGTCTTCATAAAATTTCAACAGCGAGTGAAAAACACAAAATAGAAAGAGAAGCTGTAGACCTTTCTGTAACAAGTCTTTTGGAAGTAGAAACAAGGAGCCAAGAAACTCAGACGATGGGTCAGCCCAAAAAAGTGAAACATAAAAAAGAAAGTCACAGGTTGCCGAAGTACAATGATAATCTGATCATACCAAATATAACGAGAACAACATTTGATGTAGGATTAAAAAGCAGGTCACCTGAGGAAACTTCGAAGAGAATCTCTGAACCATTTGCCACATCTTTTTTGAGTGCGCGTGATATTGGCATCCAAAGTGAAGCGAAAAATTATTTCTGCCACAAGCCCCCCAGTTTTATTTCCAAGCCTCCCTTTCCGGTGAACCCTCAGACATTTCTCTTTTTGCATTCAGAATCTGAGGAAGATGCAAAGCCAGCAGTTAAACACCACCAGAAGGCAAAAAGGAAGAAATCTGACATAAAGAAGGATAGTGGGTCACACCAGCAAGCATCAATAAGTACACAAACCAGGAGAGAAAGGGTGCCTACTGGAAGCACCTCTAAGGAGATTTTAAAAGAAAAATCCAAAAGGCACCCATCAGTTTCTCCAAAATTGAGCGCCACCGAAAACAGGAAGGATTCCAAAGCAACAGCATCCCCCAGCAGTACACGAAGGGAAAGCTTGAAGCAGAAATCTGAGAAGAAGCGAGATACGGAGGTTAAGCCCAAAAAATCACTCACCAAGACTGCTGTCCTGTCTGATCCACAGCTACAAAACCATTCCAAAAATATTTCGGAAAAATCATCCACAACTAAAATACCCGCTCCTGGGCGTACAAAAGGAAGCACATTGGTAAGAACGTTATTGACTCTGTACTTGAAGACCACAAATATTATTTCTGAAGGCAGCACATCTAGGACAATATATGCTTTAATGCATTTATTTTTTCCAAACAGAGCAAATCAGAGCCATGGAACTAGCGTTGCAAATTAAAATCAAAGCTCAACATCTTGGAAAAACAGACTTCAAAACAGGGGCTCCTGTATTAAAGACTTTAATGCCAGGTGATTTGACTACACCCATGAGCCCAGTAAACCCAGTGCTTACTGGTTGCTTACACAGCCAGCCTGCTGATTGCACTAAGCAATGATCCTTGGGCCATGTAAATGATTGTTTTCAGAGACTGTACTGCTTTTCAGGAGTAGCAGTTGGGGTGGGGAGAGTTTTCTAACCCTTCTCTCCCTTGCCAGTCCTGATAAAAGTCCCTACCCCACCCTGCACACAAAAAGCCCCTGCTATTTGGCCTGGGATGGAAGCTGTCAGTAGGAACTTATTGGAAGAGGATTTTCATCAGGACCACAGCATGTGCGAGAAAGCCGTAAACCCTTTCCCCGCACAGCGGTTGCAGTCCTGATCAGTTGCTGTATCAGAATAGCACCACACAAAGCAAAGCAGTGTACAGTGGTACCTCGGGTTACATACACTTCAGGTTACATACGCTTCAGGTTACAGACTCCGCTAACCCAGAAATAGTACCTCGGGTTAAGAACTTTGCTTCAGGATGAGAACAGAAATCACGCGGCAGCAGTGGGAGGCCCCATTAGCTAAAGTGGTGCTTCAGGTTAAGAACAGTTTCAGGTTAAGAACGGACCTCCGGAACGAATTAAGTATGTAACCAGAGGTACCACTGTAATGTGAAGCTTGGCCATTTCTGCCCTTCTAAACCTGACACAGAGTACATACACATCCTTGGCCCCACGTTACCCTTAGCACCATACTTTCTCTTCTTTTTTACTGCTTCTCAGCACACGGCGTTTGTTCCTTAAATGTTATTCCTTTGTTTGCAACAGTATGTATAAGCCACCCACTTACAAAATTGAGGTGGTGTACAGCAGTATGTAAATAAAAGGGACGTGGGACGTAGGTGGCGCTGTGGGTTAAACCACAGAGCCTAGGACTTGCCGATCAGAAGGTTGGCTGTTCGAATCCCTGCGACGGGGTGAGCTCCCGTTGTTCGGTCCCTGCTCCTGCCAACCTAGCAGTTTGAAAGCATATCAAAGTGCAAGTAGATAAATAGGTACCGCTCCGGCAGGAAGGTAAACGGTGTTTCCGTGCGCTGCTCTGGTTTCGCCAGAAGCGGCTTAGTCATGCTGGCCACATGACCCGGAAGCTGTACGCCGGCTCCCTCGGCCAATAAAGCGAGATGAGCGCCACGACTGGACCTTATGGTCAGGGGTCCCTTTACCTTTACAGCAATATGCACAGGTGCAGTAAAACACAAGATGCCACAAAAGCAATACACATCATCTTGCCTCTGCACGTTCTGCATCTTTTGACCTCCCTTCCAACTCCAGTTCCCAGCCATACCAGCATCCCTACAGGCAATGCAATCCCCTGCCAACAGCATCTAGGTCTCCGTCTCCAGGAAAGGTGGAGAACCTCTCTCTGCCCCGCTCTGCCCAAGGGCCAACTTTTCAGGTGGGTGGAGCAATCCACCCATCAGTCACACAATGTCAGTATGAGATCATGATTGGAACGGGCAAGGTTCCAAGGCTGGGAACCACAGCACAAGGGGCGTTGCCACCGCTATACTTTGCAAGCCTCCTCATTCTCCTTTCCACCTTGGGTGTCAGAGGTGGGAAGAAGCACAGAGTCATTTGTTGGGAATCCATAGCTTCCCTATGCTTCCCCCTTTCCATCTTTTTTCCACCTGCGATGTCAGGGGGCTTTAAAGAATAGCCCTGGGAGGGAGAAGTTTTTTCCATGAGATAAAAGCCACTTCCCCCTCCATGGGCAAAGCATGGTCCCACTGTTCCTTGGCTTCTGGGTGGGTGGAAGCTCACCTTCCAGCAAAAGTTGAGAGCTCACTTTAAGCTCCTGATGGTTCCTTGAAGACCCACATTTACCTGTTCCATGCCCAATGTCCTGTATGACATCAAGTTTGGCCTGCAGGTCACAGGTGTCCCCCCCCCCCCCGCTCTAGAACCTGTTTAGGGTTTCCCTAGGCAAACCAAGAAGGGATGCGGGTGATGCTGTGGGTTAAACCACAGAGCCTAGGGCTTGCTGATCATAAGGTCGGCGGTTCGAATCCCCGCGATGGGGTGAGCTCCCATTGCTCGGTCCCTGCTCCTGCCAACCTAGCAGTTCGAAAGCACGTCAAAGTGCAAGTAGATAAATAGGTACCGCTCCGGCGGGAAGGTAAACCGCATTTCCGTGCATTGCTCTGGTTCACCAGAAGCGGCTTAGTCATGCTGGCCACATGACCCGGTAGCTGTACGCCGGCTCCCTTGGCCAATAAAGCGAAATGAGCGCCGCAACCCCATAGTCGTCAGTGACTGGACCTTATGGTCAGGTGTCCCTTTACCTTTATCTTTTAGACAAACCAAGAACTTGCACCTGTGCATTGCCATCCGAGTGCTTAGAATGTTTGGCGTATCGGTCACAGCACTTCAGCCAATTGCTAATATGGGGAAGGAAATAGAACAGCAACCACTAGTATTTAGCTGATTAATTAGAAGACAACAGATACTAACCTGACCCAGATATTAACAGCGGCATGAGTTCGTTAAATGAAATAAAGTAAGGCTTAGGCATGCAAAGAGACAAGAGAACAGTGCAAATTTGATTGTTTGATAAGCCAACCACTGAGCGCTGATGAATGAAAACTTTGTGTTGTAATCCAGCATTGTCAACAAGACTTCTCCTTGCCTAATGGGACTTCTGCCCTCTCTCCTTTCTCCTGCGCCCCCTCTAAATCAGCCAATTTATGGGTAGGGAAGAGGAGGAGAAGGGGAAGTGAGTGGGATGCAGCTCACATTGTTTTACAGTGAAGTTTGTCATAATTATACACATACATAAAATAACTCTTTGCTTTCATTTTGATATTCAGAACATTGCGGGCCCAGATGATATCGACATGGAAGCTTACAGGCATCTTGAAAAAGCCGTAGAAAGAGCTCTTCTTGATTTAGGAAGAGTCCCAGAAGGCAGCTCCAGCCAGGGAAGGCCAACTCCTGCTCCAAGTTCTACGACTCTCATAAACAGAGATTCACCCAGATCCTATCTCTCTGCTGTCGAGACGCCAAGAAATCAAGCGGGTTCAATAACGGAGATGCTTAACAATCAAGAACAGATCTTAAAAATGACACCCGATCAACTGGAAGTTGTACTTAGGATTCTCCAAAATATATTGAGGCAGAACGCAAGACCCCCAAATAATGGATGAATGGAAACAACCTCTGTGTAAACCAGCTACGTATGTATGTTCTTACTTTCCCCCAGCTATTATGAAAAATAAAACCCTCTTTGTATATACATTTTTAAAGAAAGTTTAAGGATATTTTAAAATTATTGTAGATAGGAAGCTGCCTTATGTCAAGTCAAATATCATTGATCCATATATTTCTCTGTGTGTGCACGCGCGTGTGTGCGTGCATGTGTAAAATATGCCACGATGGCCTAGGCAAATTTGACAGGTGGGCAATGCCACCCACCTGTCAATCACCTGTTTCCAGACACAATGTGAATCAAAACTGCCTGCAAATGAATAAAGGGGCTCAGGTTTGATCCCCACTTTGGGCAAAAGATTCCTGCATTGCCAGGAGCTGGATTAGATGACTCTCGTGGTCCTTTCCAAATCCGATTCTATGACTTCCCTAAAAAGGAGCTTCCTCTAGGATGGAACAGTGCTGATGGCAAGCTCCCCCTCCGCCAACTGCATCAGGGTATTCCGATGAAGAAACTCCCTAGTGCAGCTGATCTCAAGTAGGGCTTCCTATCAGCTCTGATAAACTTGCAACAGAACAACTGGGAGCTGATGTTAAGCTAGGAGTGGCACAGAAATTTGAATCTATTTGTATTTAAAAGTGAATCTACCTAGTTAGCTCTTTTTAAAACAATATGCGAAATGAAAGACATCCTGCCAAATTTGCACTTCACTGAATTTTGAAAATACACTTCTCCAGCCAAGTAATGTGTACAAAAACACAAATAAGGTACAGTGTGTGCATAAGCGTGCATTCACGAAAACACACCAAATGCATTGTACTAGGGAACATAGTAAGTATTAGGGAAATGCATCTTGTAAAATTGTGCCTTAGGTAAAAAGGTTTATATTAGGAAAAGTTTGCACTTGGGATTCTGATGAATTTTAGGAATTTCTTTTAAAAAGAAAGCAACTGATATGAAGCAGTGGAGAAGTGAACTTGAACATTGGAAAAATGAGAAGCAGAGAAACCAAAATGGACTCTACCAGTCTTCCCTTTGGAGTTGCACCTGTAGCTGCCTCACACGTCAGATGTGAGGCAGGTGAACGTTGTTTGCAGGAAACAGTCTTGCAGGCCAAATTGGGACCTGTGCCAGGCCTAATTAAGCTGATGGGCCAGAGGTTCCTCAGCCCTGCTGCATACACTGGCTTGCAGTAGCTCAGGGTGTCTTACTTGGAGATGAATTGGGACAATCTGTATGCAAAGTGTTTGCCTCTGAGCTACAGACCTTCCTCTAATGCTTACTTCAAAATTCCCTACTGGTGTTACTTTAATACAGAATGCAATGTTTCATCTCTTGATGAAATGTGCTTAGGTGATTGCTGGAAAAGACCTGAAAAACGATAGATTTGCCTTTATGATGTTCAACTTTTAATAATTGAAACTTTTTTTAAAAAAAAGACAACCCATTATGTCTACTGCAACTCCCTACTACACACAGTATGATGCTGTTGAAGATGCCTAGCCTAATCCTTTCAGGTCAAGCCCAGCCGTTGCAGCAGCAATTCCTTGCTTTTTCTCAGTGGCACAGTATCGTGATGGCAAGATGAGGTCATCTTGGCAAAAGGGGGGTGGGAATCACTGCTGCCACACGGTCTCTTGGTTTTAGAATGAATAGACCCTGCTTGCCAGCTCTGCCCTCAAAAGATATGCAGAGGAACGGAATTCAGGAAGATCTTGGAAACATGGAGGGCAGGCAGCTGCAGTTTCTCACTTGGCTCTGTCCCCTCAGATGCACACTGAGCATGGGTGCAGAGGCAAATGCATATATTTATTAGAAATAAAATCAATCCTTTCTCTAACCAACTGAGCTAACTTCCCTTTTAGCATTAACTGCCTGCTGCTAGAATTTGACTGCAGACCACCACACACTGCTCCGAGTTCTCATTCTGCCTGTGATAGAGTGGCTGAAAAGCCTAGAACCCATTGTGTCCACTCAACAGAACTCTCCTTAGAATCATCCTTAATTGGTTGGTGCTGCCTATGAGTTGCAGAATCAACCCATGATGCCCTGTATTCTCAGACCCATTAACCTAGTCTTTTTATCTAGTTAAAGCAAATTTACTGCCAGGGTGAAGTGTCTACACAGTTCTGAAAGCATATTTCTTACACATGTTGATTTGATACTAAACTCCACTGAATTCCATGGGATTTGTTCCCAAACATAACACCGGCTACTCAGAAGTAAATCCCACTGAATTAAGTGGGCTGCTCCCCCAAATAAGGGGGGTTAGGAACTATATTCTTTCTGCACAGTTTGCTTATTTGTTACATTTAACATTTTGCCAGCGAATTAAATAGCAGTTTTTATCCTCACAGTGGCACTGGTGGCAATTGTATATATCTTGACAAATCTGTAGGAAATAAGTGTCATGCAAGTAGGTTTTTTTTTTAACCAATTAAATATGTAATAATGTAGTAGTTAAAAAAAACAACTAGTGCATTATTACATATTTAATTGTTTAAATTTGATATTTGGTCTCAAAAGTAGTTTTAGCTGACATAAGTATGAAGTAAAAATACCACCAGAAGAAGCATGACTGAAGAGCTTTCTTGAAATAAGTACATTTTATTCCAGTTACATTTGTCAGAGTTGAGATGGCAAGAGATCGCAAACACATAAAAATTACTTCAGTAGTTTCCTATTTAAAAGAACAATTGTGATGCTAATAACATCACATCTGATATAACTTTGTGAGGTTACACTTTTTTAAAAAAAAAATAAGCTAAGGTCTATTTTACATGATCAAATAAAATGTGCATTAATAAAATATAGTTGTAAATATCTCAGTATTAAAAACCCTGTCCCCAAAATTATATGCTGTACAAAAAGCAAGAATTTTGGTTAAGGTCATGTTCAGTCAGTCATTCACAGTACTAGAGCAACAAGAATAGAAAGTGGTCTCTTTCTTGTCAGTCTGGCCTTTATATTGTGCTTCTTGTTTGTAATTGGGAATTCTTTCCTATCTCAATGAAAGGCACAACAAAGAGGACAAAATGCAAGGCAGAAGTCCCATCTCATTTAAGCATCTTTTGCTTCCTAGAATAGTGTTTGCAGCAGTATACCTCCAACAGTCATGTATTGCCATAGTATTAAAGCCATGCTTCCATTCAGTGGGTCTTCTGTATGCCACATAGATTCCTTTTCCTCGCTGGTGCAACAGTATTCAACTTGAGATGTTGCCTTTTTAAAGGCTAGTGAGATGTGAGCCCAAGGCAGTGCCATTCCAATTAGAGCTGCGGGTCTATTAAGCAATCTCTTTATAAATAATATAATCAAGCAGTTTCAAACTCCTGTTTTACTGCTGTTATGCAAATTATTCTCCCTTGGTTAGGTTTTGTTAAAAAGATACCTTGCATTAAAGATCACAGCTGTTCTCCAGGCCTCAGTTAATGGCTACACCAACAAATGTTGGAGGGTAGGTGGCCTGCAAAGCTCACAATGGTTTGCACACCAATTTTTTAAAGTAGGAATAGGCATTACTTTAAAGAAGTTTATATATGTGATGAACAGTACACACACATACACACACGCACACACAAGCTGAGAGAAGGGAAATAGTATTTTAGATTAACATTTCTGAGGCAGTAAAGGCATAGATATATCAGACATGCCATACCAGGCTAAAATATGCACCATTGCAATTCAGTTGTAAGAATGGAAGGGAGATGCTTGAGAAAGTGTAGACGTTTATGGTAATTCAAGAAGTGAGGGTTACTGCATTCTGTAGTACCACTTTGGAAGAATTTCCCTCATATAAAGTATTGGCACAAAATTTTTAACATTTTCAAGTATATAACTAATATTTGTATTTTGAACACGAAAAGGAAAAAGCAGCGACAAAAATCACATTATTTTTTCCTAGAGAGAGATATCAGAGGTATGGTTTAGTATCTTTAGAATTCCCAGTACACCTCTCTCTCATTTGGCAAAATGCATCCAGTCTTACAGATGGCTGCTGAACACACTGTTGGCACCTGTGGCTGGACATGTTGGACGGCAGGAGGCAGCAGTGAAAGTAAAGAACCCTTTGTTTGTTCTTTTACCTGAAATGAGAGAACACAGTGATTTGGAATAGTGAACTTGGACGTGGGTGTCGCTGTGGGTTAAACCACAGAGCCTAGGACTTGCCGATCAGAAGGTCGGTGGTTCGAATCCACGCGACGGGGTGAGCTCCCGTTGCTCGGTCCCTGCTCCTGCCAACCTAGCAGTTCAAAAGCACGTCTAAGTGCAAGTAGATAAATAGGTACCGCTCTGGCGGGAAGGTAAACGGCGTTTCCGTGTGCTGCTCTGGTTCGCCAGAAGCGGCTTAGTCATGCTGGCCACATGACCCGGAAGCTGTACGCCGGCTCCCTCGGCCAATAAAGCGAGATGAGTGCCGCATCCCCAGAGTCAGTCACGACTGGACCTAATGGTCAGGCCCTTTACCCCCAAATATGCCAAAGCCATTGTGAATTTATTTGCATAGGCTCATTAACTTGCAAGAGGCACAGAATTCAGATTCTAAAGCTCTGGTTTACTTTCTCAGGGCATGCAACTATCAGTAACCAGGCTCAATGAATTAGTGACACTAGAAAGGGGTGGAGAACATTTGAGGGCCAGAGGTTCCTTGCTCATTTGTAGCACCTGCAGCCAGATATTCCCCATCGCTGATGAGAACACTGTCTACCACGTAGTACAAGAAGCAATTGTATTGTGTCCCTTCTGCAAGCATATTGTGCACAAATCCCACCTGCGGTAGTTCTCCAATTGCAATCAAACTGCTCCAGATACATTGCCTTCCAGCTATAGGCACCACAGTTTCAGCCATGTTCAGCTATGAGCAGCTTGTGTACCCAGTTCACGAATATTTTCTCGATCAAAGCCTTGGTCTTTAGCTGCAATTTACACATCTAATAATTTGTAACAAGCTCACCTGCTTGAAAAAAGCATGTGACAGGAGACCTCTTGCTGATGGCCTAGATCCCAGGAAGAAAAACAGAACTTAGATATTTTAAGCTTTGCCAATGGAGTTAGCTAGTACTGTAAAAACCTCCCCTTCTCTTGTTGCCTGTTACAGGGTCAGTCAATAGAAAGAAAAATCAAGCATAGGCATTCCAGTTTAAGTAAGCTCCCCACTTGTTAAAATTACTCATTTTCAAAATAACAAAAACCCTGCAAAAAGTGTAGCTTCCGGCTCCTTGTATGTGGATATTTTAAAATTGGGACTATCAACTGACTGTAGAATTTAATTAATTAACTGCCTCTTGAACTGATTAAATATATAGCTATACTTAGGTTAGAAAAGGCCATTTTGACATTTTCCAAAATAGCTTTTAAAACGCAAGGAAAGTGTGACCATATTGCCCACTTACCAATCAACTAAAAGTTTTAGGTGCATCCACACCAAAAATTACATATCTATTTGCACTGTGAGTGAACAAAATATACATTTATGTACTGCATCTATGTGAAATATACAGAGGGAAGTTCTTGATAACTTCGAGCTCATGTATAAAACAAGGTTTTCAAGTAATCAGAAAGCTCTTTGAACCCCATACAAATATTAACTGCAGCAACTAAATTCTAACAGCCTTACCTTTTCTCTGGGTCCTGTTGCAAACAGAGTTCTATCAAGTTATGGAAAGCCGGGGAGAAAGTTTTTGGTGGAGTCTGCAATCTCTCACTTGTCATTGTGTGTGTCATACTTTCACCAATTCCAGAGTCAATCCCTGATCGAGAATTTTTTATCCTGGATTCACCACGCGGAAAAGTATTTATAGCCCAAGGACAATAAGAGGGACCTTTCAGCTTCTGCAGCAGCATCTGAAAGAAAATGTCCGTTGACTGTCTTAGCCCTACCTGTACACCTCAAATGTACACCTGTTTAATTTCTGGGTCAGTAGGGGTACTTTCAGTGAAAATATTGGGGGGGGCATGATTCTAAAATGTGCACCTTTTATGAAAGCTGTTCACTGCCACTCCCCTATCTCATGTTGCTTCTGAATCCAATCAATTATCTATATTATAGTGTCACAAAGCTACACAGCCAGCTAAGAGCAAACAATCCAATCAGAGTGAGGGCAATGCTTCTTAGACTGGACAGTCAGGGAACATGTAACAAACTTGGCACAAACACTATTCAAAACAATGCTTCCTGAATAGGTAAACATTTCGGAACCACTTTGCAACATTTTTTAAAAATAGAGCACCAGAAAGGATGCATTTTGATGTTTGCAAATGTGCTGAAACACATACATTTTAGAAATATCACAACAGAGGAAGTCTTATTGCATTACGTAGCTAGGTGTTCGAGATCCTCAAAATTGTCACCTCTCTTTTCGTGACATTGTTATCGATCAGAAGTTGAAGAGTTTTGTGCCTTACCTGCGTCCGAGGTATATCCTGAAAAGGTACATGCCCATTAGCTAGTTCACATGCTGTAATGCCCACACTATAGATGTCAGACTTCACATTATAGCCATACATATCCTATGGAAGAAGAGATTGCATTGATAACTGCTGAATACATGCCAATGTGCCATGAATTGAAATAAACATGCATATTCAACTATAAAAAGTTGTTTTTCTTCTTTGAAAAAAGATACCCTATAAATAAAAATAAGCCTGTTGCTACATTCAAGCCCTGAAGCACACAATGTTATGCCCTTCGAGTATAGTACTGGTTTTAACACAACTGCACTATTTTTCCTTCACAAAAATGGTATTTGCTGCATTTAACAAGTTCATAATACAACCTTTAGCTTCCTTTCAAATGGCTTCATGTGCAAAATGGAATATCAACACCATAAAATACAGCTATGGTCTTCAGTGCCGTTTTATACTGAAAATCGGTACCAAGGTTAATCATATTTAAACTGAAATACCTGAAACCTGTAAGAAGCTAGAAATAAATTTATGTGCCAGTTCTGCCAGGCTGCATTTCATAGGTTTATCACGAAGTCAGAACCCACTTGATGTGGTTTAAACTGGGAGAAAGGGTTGTACTTTATAGGGTTAAGCCAAGACAAACAGGCTGGTGATCACTAACTGCAACAGGGAAAATATTGGCCTGGTTTTCAAGTTGCGGTAAGACTTAGTGCAAATGTACTGACTACAGAAGAGATCACTTCCTCCCTAGTCATTTTGCTCCTGTGCCATGCTAAAACATGTTTGAACCTAGACTCATGAACAAACCATGAGCTGTCAATCATAGGACAAATCTTGGTTAAGGCTTATGGTTAGTCTAGAGAGAGCTAAACCACAAGCCTAGGTTTGGAAGAGATGCTAAGCTAAACTGGAGCAAGCTGTGTAGCAGCAAAATGACTGTGAAGGAGCAAAGAGGCCACAATCTCCTTTCTGGGAGCCTGCATGCTGTGTGGACTAGGAGACTACTTCCGTAATGAAAGCCACTGTCATGTAATCTGTGGTATTAGTTCCTGCATATATATGTAGGTGTGTGTAAATTATTCATCTGGGTCACTCAAACAAGATTCGTTAAGAACTTGGTAATATTTAACTTGGTAATATAAGTACATGTCATGCCAAGCCAGATACAGCTGTATGCTTAGACCTAAGTTTCTAATTTCCCATTCATCATTATATAATCCTTGATATTCTACTAAGGCCTGATCATTTAATGTTCTTTAAAATCTCAAGTAATAACTATAGAAGTAGACAGAAATCAGACCTCCAGCTTAATGGTTCTAGCATTCCTCCCAATAATGTGAGGAATTGAGAGGGATGGAAATATTTACAAAAATTTAGGAGTTAGAATAATTGTTGCAGCTCCTACAAGGAAGATATGGTTGATTAAGAGGTAGCATTTCATCATGTATGGATGTGCGAAACCATTCCACTTAATTTCAGTAATAATTGGCAAAAATAATTTCACATTTCAACATAAATTATAGGGCTACAACAATTTAAAGGCATGCCTTTCACATTATCCATAACTTTTCAAATAATGTGAAATGCATGTATTTAATTATAGTGTTATATAGAACACTGAGATGTCAAATGTTAATAATAAAAAGGAGGACATTAAGTAATTAATATTAGCTTTTATAATGCACAATTAGAATTCTTTATAGACATTTCTTAGATGCAATCTGTGCCAATACGTATTTTCTGCACGACTGCTCAGCCACAGTGAACTGCATCATATACTGACCTGTCTCAGTAGCTCAGGACTCAGCCAGGGAAGCATTGATGCACTGAACTGGGGGAAGTCATACACAGCTTTTAACCGTTTTCCACTGCTCACTAGGCTGCAAAGATGGTTTAATCCAGAAAGATACACCAGGCCATCCCCTGAAATCAGTATATGGCTAGCTTTAATACTTCTGAAAGACATAACAAGTGATGGTTTAGTTGGATTAAGAGAAAAACAAGATTCTAACACACATTATACAGGATTGTTCATATGAAGAGTGATTACCCTGCGTCGCATAAGAAAGCGAGTGTATCATGCATAATGGAGATGTACACTGTGTTTTGTGTTGCTCTTGACTGCAGTGTAGGAATACTATAATGCCAGCTCTCACTGAACGATGGTGCATGAAGATATGGTCACCACAGAGCAAAGAGTGCCTTGTGCCAACTCAACAGTTTCAAAAATCTCAAGTCACCCAAATAGAACAGAGATGGGGACTCTGGTCTTCCTATTTACCCTTGGTCCCAATCGCCTGTCATTTTCTTAAAAACCTCTCTACATATTACCTGTGAATGTAGCCATGTTGGTGCATGTAGTTTAACCCGCTGATTGCTCCAAACAGGATATTTCCTATCAACACTTCACTCATGCCTTCAGGAAAGTAAGTCCTCAGTAGATGGCTGGCTGAACCTAGAAAAGGTGCATGTAACTTGCTAGCAAGTCAAAACATTATTTATGCAATGAAAGCAGAGTTGACATTTCCTGTCATAATTCAGAAAGGTGTAATGCATAAATCTGATCCCGCTGCTACATAGTGTACAACTATGTAGGTTCAAGGAACAATTTTGCATATTATGAAGGATATTGGAAATGCTCTTTTTGTATTGATCAGTGCTGCCCCTAAAAATATTGCCACACAAGAATTTGCCTGTGGACTCAAGAGCAGACCTGAATGATACAGCTTTTTACAAAACAGCCAATTTCTCTCTTTCCTCTTTATTGAGGTAGTCCCACTGCTTAAAAGAAGCAGGCATTAAAGGAAGACGCTGCCTCATGTGTAGAGAACTGAATCTGGCCAATGGGCCAGATTCGTAATTCCATTGCCCTGTGGTGCTGTCAAAGTTCAAAGGGCTTATGGTAACCACTGATAAGTCTGTTTACAGGCACAGTTTGGCCTACAGACAAGGCACTTGCAGAAAAACTGGGAGCTCACATTAAGCTCCCATATGCTACAAAGGAACAAGGTCCTTGCCTACCCTACTCCTGATATCACATATGCTTTGAAAGAAATGGCCTTGTGGGCCAAGCTGGAAACCATACTGGGCCTAATAAGGACTGCAAGGCAGGAGGTTCCCCACAACTGGTCTATCCCATCCTTGACTTACATCTTGTCAACCTGCAAAAGGTACAGGCTTTAAAAATATTAAGCAATATATGTACTTTTCAATAAACGAGCAAGCTGCTCTTAAGTTTGATAGCTCAAATGCATGATATGTAAACTAAACACAGTTGCATTCAAAACTGCAACTGCATGAGCAGAATAGATTCCCACTGTCACAACATCAATTTCCCATTCTCTCCTGCTTCCTGGAGCACCTCATGGACCCTCAAAATCTGCTTCAGAGGGTTGGAAGATCCTCTGGAGTGGATTTGGGGTGGGGGGTGGACTGCAGGGATGAAGAGAGAAAATGAGAGTCCTGCTGCATGAGTGGAAGTCCATTTGCAATGCAATGGACACAATCCTTAATGAGCCCCTACAGAGATAATTCAGTTAATGTGTAGCTTTCCTCAACAGAATACTTACAGTAGGCCATGAAAGGAGAAATAACCCAAAGCCAGCTTCCAGCAGTGAACACTGCCCAAAGAGTCATGATATTGGGGTGTCGAAAGGAATGGGATAAAACCACCTCATTCTAGATGAAAGAATACATGTTTTAATTATTTAAAAGGGCAATGGAACAGTCCATAAACCCTTAGCCACAGCCTACTGCTACTCTGAAGACAATCCCTGAATCAGAAATGAATAGATTTTTGGATTGTTGCACAATGCCAGAGATGCAATTTGAGAAAGCTGTCCCTGCATCTAATCACAAGTTTTCTGGAATTATTAGCATATCTAGAAGTACTTTTCTTTTTAATAACCTGGCAACTTCAAAGGGTCTTCATTTTTAAGCACTTTGTATAAAGTTTAAAAATCACCTCTCCTTTTACATGTTTAACTTCATAAATATATAAAATGTTAAAACTTCTGTCTTACTTGTAAAGCTTTCAAGTGTTCTTCAGAACATCTTTCCAGATCTGTAATCCTTACAGCCACCAGTGTTCCTGTAGGGATATGACGCGCGAGGTAGATTGAAGTTAAGTTGCTGCATCCCCTTCCTATTAGCAAAACAGAAGTTGATCACTTTAACAACTTTGAAATGTTTCTTAGTTACTGCTTTATCATTTAGCATTCGTACAATCCCAATATTCAAGGCAAATACTGACAGATTATGAAGAAAAAGCTGTTCTGAGACTGCACATAAGGAAACAGCTAATCTGAGCAACCAAAAAAGACACTGCTGCAAGTCTGGCTTTGACTTAGCTCAACTATCACAGGGTTTTGGAATAGATTCTATGTCTAGGAGCTAATTTATCAGAAGAAGAAGAGTTTGGATTTGATATCCCGCCTTTCACTCCCCTTCAGGAGTCTCAAAGCGGCTAACATTCTCCTTTCCCTTCCTCCCCCACAACAAACACTCTGTGAGGTGAGTGGGCTGAGAGACTTCAAAGAAGTGTGACTGGCCCAAGGTCACCCAGCAGCTGCATGTGGAGGAGCAGAGACGCGAACCCAGTTCCCCAGATTACGAGACTACCGCTCTTAACCACTACACCACACTGGCTCTCAAGGAACAGCTACCAAGTGCCATCAAACCATTTTTACAAGGTCAAGCTGAGTGCTAAATGACAAAGATTGGTATCTTCAAAAGATAGATAGATAAACTTTATTTGCATTAGCCAACTGCCATAGCAACATAAAACAAGCAATATTTACAATTAAAAAAACAACAATAGGTAAAAGGGACAATCAGATGACCAAGATTATCGTTCAGATAGTGGTCCTTAATCTCACTGCACCCTCGATAAACCTAGCAACCTTTGCTGTTGTCTGATCATTTTGATCCGATAAAAGAAAGAACAATATGGCCGCAGATGGGCGGCTTGGGATGGTAAGTAAGAATGGGGTGATGATCTCATTCCTCAGACCTTTATATAGGGGACAGGACAGGAGAACATGAGCCACTGTTTCCATATTGCCATCTCCACATGGGCAGAGTCGTTTCTCAGTTGGAATCTTTTGGTATCTGCCCTCAAGTACGGCAGACGGCATCACATCCAATCTGCCCAGTGTGAAGGCACGTCTGTATTTTGGGATAGTTAATTTATACAAATATGGTGCCAGGGAATCAAACTGGGGGGGGGGGGGGAGGCATAACAAGGACAGAGTTTCTTTATAATGGCCAGATTGCTCTGTTGCACTAAATCCTTCAGACGCTGTCCAATTAGCCTTTTTGCTTTAATAAAGCCCATTGTGAGAAGCTGATGTGGGTGGAGTTTGCAGGAGAGGAATTTTTCTTGCACAATTTTAGACCACACACTTTTATGGGGGTCTTGTGTCACTAAGGGAAGTAGACCAGGTGGATTTAGATTTAGACGGAGCCAATAATTAAGAGTTCTTTGCCAGGACCGAGATTCTACAGAGGGAAGACTTGCTTCCAGTCGTAATGCTGCATTTGGGAATATCCTCAAAAGGATAGCAATACTCTTTAGGTTGCATACAGGAAAGCACATCAATGGACAGTGTATACACAACATGTGAAAAACATTTAGGCACTGATTAAAAGAAAGTGTTGGCAGAAGAGCAAACTGGGGATTGAATAAGAAAAACAATTCAAATCAATTTAAAAATAGGCTTCTGCCTCACGGTGCCACAAGTGGTACCCTCCCATCAGTCCCAGAGTAACCATTGGCAGCAACTAACATTGGGCTGGCCGTTAAAACGCAAAGGCACTTGTGTTGCGCTGCTTCAAAATGAGAACATTCCCATGAACCTTCCCACATGGCAATGAATAGATTTTCATCAGAGGACAATGCAAACTTGCACCTCCCTCAGGTAAAAAGAAGGGGCTAGAGGCATTCCCTGGCTAAGAGACAGAGAGAACAGGATAGCAGTCTGCAGCATCTTTGGAAGAGGAAGTCATCACTTACACCACTGCAACTACTATGTTTCAAAAGGGCATTGAGGCCTGATATTTTAATCGCAAAGAAAACAAGCAGTCAGATGGAGCTAGATGCAACAGAACAAGCAAATATTAAGATCAATTAAAAATGTTGTATGGCTCAAATGTATTGGCCAAACATTGGCAAAACACTGGATTTTCACACCAGGAAACAATACCGTCCAGTTTTCTAAAGATCTTTCAACCAGACAAGGTAGGAAGATAAGGTACTTGTAAATCACCCTCCCTATAAGCCTTTTTTCAGCTGAAGAATGGAGTAAAAGCCCTTTCAATTATAAAAATAGGAAATAGCTTATTTCAGATTACAAACTAGGTACCCCTGCCCGTACGGGCCAGTCGTGTCCGACTCTAGGGTTGCGCGCTCATCTCGCTCAAGAGGCCGGGAGCCAGCGCTGTCCGGAGACACTTCTGGGTCACGTGGCCAGCGTGACTAAGCGGCATCTGGCGAGCCAGCACCAGCGCCGCACACGGAAACGCCGTTTACCTTCCCGCCGGAGTGGTACCTATATATCTACTTGCACTTAGGGGTGCTTTCGAACTGCTAGGTGGGCAGGAGCTGGGACCGAACGACGGGAGCTCACCTCGCCACGGGGATTCGAACCGCCAACCTTGCGATCAGCAAGTCCTAGGCGCTGAGGTTTTACCCACAGCGCCACCTGCGTCCCTGATTACAAACTAGTCAGTTACCTATTTCCACCTGGATATCATAATGGGATACATCCGAGGACCATGATATTTCTTCATCTCCTCTTTGAGCCGATTGCCCCCAATATAAAGCAGGTTCATCTGTCTGAATAGAAAAAAAGATGCACACACACACACACTTTTATTGTATAAAATTGCAGTGAACAGTGTAACTTCATGTTAATTTTGCAGATCTGCCAGCCTATACATCTTCCAGAAGCATGACAAAGTCTTTTTCTATTGCCATTGCTTTTGGTGTCAGAGGGTGAATTAGTTACTATAGATGTCATAAAGGAGACTTCATCCCACACAGATGAGAAATAAGAGTAAGAAAATTAAATACTGCATTTCCTACTATATCAGACAGTAAAAACCATATACCATGTTTTTCCATTGTATTTCCACTTCTATTATATTCAGGAACTGTGCCAAGTTACAATACCATGTGCTGCTTGACTTAGTGTCTTTCCGTCCATCAAGCATTACAGCGTTACTTATGTGCTGCTACTTGCAAATGCAGCCAAATTAATATATTTTATTTTAAAAATGTATAAATTGCTTTTCCCAGAAACATATGCAAAGCGGTGTACTGTGAAAACTAGATAGCCCAGTTGGTAGAGCATGAGATTCTTAATCTCAGGGTTGTGAGTCTGAGCCCCAGGTTGGGTGAAAGATTCCTGCATTGCAGAGTGTTAGACTAGATGAGCCGTGGTCCCTTCCAGCGCTACAACCCTATGATTCTAACTCATGGAACAGCAGCACTATAAAACCAAAGCAGAGAAATTAACTGGTTCCACAATCCAAATTACGTACTCTTGCTATGGTCCACCAGAAATTCTCAGCTGTGGAAGGGAAAATTTCTCATGTTGCCTGCAGAAAACTCTGCTTGGCTTAGCTAGCGACGGGAGCCCTGTGAGGGATTCTGAATCGCAGTAATGTGGCTCTCCTTAATTCAGATATATCTATAATGGATATGTCTCTCCATGTAATTGTCTCAAAAACACTCTGAGGAACCGGCTCATTTCTTATTGCTGGGCTGATGACTATTCTCTGCTGAGAACAGAGGTACCAAGTGTTTACATTTGGAAACATAACAAAGACAGCAGAAAATAAATGGTGCGAGCTCTGCTTCAAGAATGCAGACATAATTTTACTAGGACTAACACTAGTGAAACAGGTCAAGTTAATATACATTTTCTCTTACCAAGTCTTGAGTGCTGCTGCCTTCTGATTGCTTTTCTGCTCCAATGGATTCAATTTGTGTCCGTAGAATACAGGAACAGTCCTTGAAAAGAATAACAGTCAATAAATGTTCCCTCCATTATATTTTAACAGCTTTGTTACCAGGTGGCCTATAATGATGGGCAGCTGGAACCTCATAAAACAGTAATAAAGTAAAAACCTACCCCAGACTATCCAGAATCTCTGGACAATTAACACCATTTTGAAAAATCATGTCCAAATATTATTTCTCCAAATAATCTACAGTCGTACCTTGGCTCCCGAATGCCTTGGGAATCCAATGTTCCGGCTGCTGAATGATCGAAAATCGGAAGTGTGTGTTCTGATTTTCAAATGTTCTTTTGGAAGCCAAACATCCGACAGGGATTCTGATTGGCTGCAGGAGCTTACTGCAGCCAATCAGAAGCCATGATTTGGAAGTCGAATGTTTCGGAAGTTGAACAAACTTCCAGAACGGATTCTGTTCGACTTCCGAGGTACAACTGTATTGCAGTCTTCGGCTCTTCTTTGAACAATGGTCCATATAGGCTGTGTATATACCAAAGTGTTACTGTGTGTGGGTCACTCAGATCCAATTTTTCCATGGGCACTTATGTGCATCTTTGTCCACATGAGTGCTTTCAACTGAATGCTATCTCAGTGTTTCCCATGCACATACTATGTTGTTGTCCCCTCCCCTCAGCTAGTGCTTCCCCACCTTCCCTGAGTCCCAGAAACCTGAGGTCCACTATAGGCATGTGCAGAGGCTTTGGTTTACCTGTGTACACAGCCAATTTTTTATTTTTACGATACAAGTCTTTCCAATACAGTAGTCCACACTTGCACAAAGCAACAAGTTGAAAAAAATTAAAAGGACATGGGTGTTAAGACTGGTCCCAACAGCAGCCAACCAAGAAGAAACTTGCCAATGGAAGTAGGGTGTGTGGCAATAGATGGTACCCAGAAAAGCCCCACATTAAAAAAACCAACAACAACCCACACAATAAACTTCAGTATATCCGGTTGATATAACATGATTTTATGTTGGATCTTTTCCTTACCACATTATCTACAGCTCGGCAAAGTTCAAATTAAAGGGGGGGGGGGCTTGCAGGCTGCCAGCTGAATGAGAACATTATATGCATGATGCGAAAAACAGGCACACCTGGGATGCCTCAAATCCTTGTTGAACTGGGAATTGTATACAATCACAGAATAGAGATCTCCCTATAGGTCTTCAGTATTGAATGAAGCCTGGCAGCTGTGTGCTTTTGAGCCAAAACTTGGGCCACTATGTTTAGGCGCAGATATAAAAGCAGACATTGAATCCATAGTAGCCCATTCTTAAAACCCAAAGAATATCCCATATAAAAGTGAAGCAGAGCAGGCCTGAGTTGTGCCCTCTATGGAAAACACTTGAAGAACTCACATTTCCCATTCTCACTTTGTAGTTCTCAAAATTAGCATGTTTAGTGAAATGTGAAGCAACCAAAGGTAGTAATGGGAAAGTTATTTTGTGCTGTTTAATTTTTTGTTTGTTAAAGCACACAAACCAGATGTATACCTGCAACATGCTACAAACATTGTGATACGTTATTGAAGAGTCCAAACAAATGGAAGCAAGTCAAAATAAATTATGTGCTTACCAAACAAGACATGGAACTGCCTTAGTTCATGGAAAATGTCATGCAAACCCATTTACCCTGAAAAAGAATATCAAAATAAAGTTTACATTCAGCCCAAACAGTAACCAAACAAAGATGTCTTTCTTCTTCCCTTTGACCATGTATGCAGACTTGAGCACACTGAAGGTCTGGACTATAAACAATGTACGAATGAAACTCTCATAAGGCTCCTCCCATAGTCAGCTTTACATATGGCTGGTCAGGTTAGAATTAAATATTCTTGGCTGCCACCAGTAGTGGAGGTGGTATGTCTCTGAACACCACTTACTGGAAAACACAAGTGAGGAGACTGCTGTTGCACTTAAGCCGTGTTTTGGGGCTTCCCATGGGGTTCTGGCTGACCATAGAATTATGTAGTTGGAAGGGACCCCAAGGGTCATCTAGCCCAACCCCCTGCAATGCAGGAATCTCAATAACAGGATGCCACATTGGTTTGATCCAGCAAGGCTTTTCTTATGTACCGTATTTTTCGCTCTATAGGACACCCTTTTTCCCCTCCAAAAATGAAGGGGAAATGTGTGTGCGTCCTATGGGGCGAATGCAGGTTTTCGCTGAAGCCTGGAGAGCAAGAGGGGTCGGAGCGCACCGACCCCTCTCGCTCTCCAGGCTTCGCGCAGATCTCTGCAAGCCGTGGGAGCCCATGCTGGGCTCCCACGTCTTGTGGAGAGTTGCCTGCATGCTGAAGCCTGGGCGCGCTGAGCTCAGCACGCCCAGACTTCGCGCAGCTCTCCGCAAGGCGCGGGAGCCCGGCGCTGGGCTCCCATGGCTTGCGGAGAGTTGCCTGTTCTGGGGGCTGGGGTCGGGGGAAGCTCGGGCTTCCCCCGCCGCAGCCCCACGCCTGGGGGGGGGGAATAAAAAAAATTTCCTTTATTTCCCCCCAAAAAAACTAGGTGCGCCTTATGGGACGGTGCGTCCTATAGGGCGAAAAATACGGTACTTAAAAACCTCTAAGCAGTTTACATGGGGGGGGGAACCCAACACGTTTAAAATACTGATAAAAAATCAAATGCTTGTTAAATACTGAAATAATATTTATGGAACTGGGTTGGACCCTCCAAACAATTATTTACCTAGCAATTTCCATGCTGCAAAGAAGAAAGAGCTGCTACAAGTCCTGCTTATATGCGCTGTACAGGCTTAAAGTCTTACTTAAATACTTAAACGTATAGGCTTGAATGCAGCTAACTTTCCAAGCAGCATGCACAAAATCTGGCTGCATATGGGATATAGAAACATTATGTGCCCCGTTGAAACGCTAATTTACTCCAGAGAGATTGCAGTTAGGCTGATCTGGAATAAATCAGTAAGTTCCCTCCTTTGTAGCCTTGTGCATACAGTTGCCACCTGTCGTATATACAGGATTGTCCTGTACTGATAGTTTTGTCCCCTCTCTCTCTGCCCCAGGCTAGGGATCCTCTGGAATACATGTGTTTGAAAGGGTGTGTGAAAGGTGATGCATTTAAGCTCTGGGTAGCCAAACACAGACAGATTTACAAACTCACTCTCTCTGTGTGACAAATTCCTGAGGGGCCATCCTGTTGGGCTGCAATAGATTGCAATGGATTACTTTGTGTGTGTTTTTCTTTCATTTCTATTTATGATTTTCAATTTTATACATGTCAGTAATTTCACAACCACTATAACATTTCAAAACTCGACTTCCTTCCCCCTCTTTCTGCATGCTCTTATAAAACTGCAGGTTATTACAATAATCCTGCCCATGTCCTTATCTGTTTACAGTTGTTTGTACTCAATAAACCATTTCCATTCTTTTATTAAAAGTTTGTCTTGATTTCTTATTTTTCCGGTAAGTTTCACAACTTCTGCATTTTCCATAGGTTTTTGTATCCATTCTTCTTTCACTGGGACTTCTTTTTCCATTTTTGGGCCAGTAACATTCTTGCGTGTAATGGATTAATTTGAAGTCACTTTAGCACCAGATTATTATTATTATTATTATTATTAGGGGGGAATCGCCCTCCCCCCCCAACTGCCCCTCCCCGTATTTTGCCAGAACAAAGGTGGCAGCTCCTCTGCAGTCCTACCTTCCCATCCTTCCTGGATTTGAATTTCTACTGAAATGAGGCTGTATTTTAATGTTGTATTTTAATCTTGTTTTTAAATTGTATTTTAATCCATTGTTTTTATACCTGGTGTTAGCCGCCCTGAGCCCGGTCTTGGCTGGGGAGGGCGGGGTATAATTTTTAAAAAAATTATTATTATTAATAAAGAGCTGGACAGAAGTCTGGAATGGATGCAATTAAATGAAGTGGTGCGATGAAAAACAAAAACAGCTAAAAGAGTACAATATATGGACAAATCTGCACTCCATAGAAAAAAAAGTATCTGTTTTCTGACATGAATTAGGATCACAGAGCCAGAGACAAAACGTGGAGGATAAAATCGCGATATGGAAATATGAAAAACACTGATGATGATGATGAGAGGCAGGACTATGATATTGAAAGCGCTTTGGAATTCAGGCCGTGGGAAGCCAAAACAAAAAATTATTACAATTTGGAAGACAATTGGACTTTTTAAAAGTTATTTATTTTTATTAGATTTGATTTGATATGTTAATTGGATGTTCTTATTGGAAAATTAATAAATGCTTTTAAAATATTATTATTATTATTATTATTATTTAACCCCGCCACCCTCACGAAATCGAAACGGAGCGGGGCCTTCACACACACCCAAAAGTGTTGCAAAAAGTTCAGGGTCAGTGGAAGTGTTATGTTTGCATGAGCAAGGATCTATTTTCTCCCCGCCGCGGAGAGAGAGAGAGAGGCGACAACGCGGGGCAACCCCACCCCCCACCCCCGCTGCAACACAAAAATAAACATATAATCGAAACGATAACAATAACGGTCCCTTTTTTGCAACCGAACCGGACCCGGTAGCTACTACGGCGCCGCCGCGCGCGCGCGCTTTTTTACCTGGAAGCAAGCCCCGCCGGGCCCAGCGGGCCTTACTCCTGAGGAGACCCAAACTTGTCCTGACCCGGGGGGGGGGGTCGGTCCTTTCCCGCTCGCCTCGCCTCCCTCCGCCCGCGCCCACCTCACACCGTCTGTCAGGCTCGGGCCGCCGCCCCCCACCCCCAGGGAGCCCAGAAACAGAGGCTGCCGCCCGTTGCCAAAGAGACCGCGAGCAGCGCAGCGTTTCTCCTCAGACAAACCGGGGGGAGGGGGGAATCACCTCAGCCCCTCGCCCGCCACCCTCGGCCAGCCTGAGGCGACACGAACTGTAGGCCCCGCCCCCCTCCGTGAACGCGGCCTGAGAGTGAACTCAGGGTTGCCGCCCGCCCGCCGCGGGACTACCAGTCCCGAAGTGCACCGCGGCAGCATGTCTCCTCAGGCGGAGGGAGGTTTCGCGGCGGGGAGAGATAGGAACGCCCCCTTTCTCCACCGTTGCATGACGGGAAGCGTAGTTTGAAAGGCGGCCGGGGGAAGCTGCCGCCGCCGCTGAGGCCGAACGGTGCTTTCCGCCTCCATCTTGTGACCGAGTTTGTGGCCGCCTCCCGCTCCTCCTCCCCCCCCCCGCACGTTGCTCCACTTGGGCGCCGGCGCTCCGAAAGAGGGAGCTGAGGAGGCGGCTGTACAATTGTCGCCTGTGGCCGGAGCGAGGGGGCTGGAAAGGAGCCCAAGCCTGAAGCTGGTAAGGGGGCAAGTGGGGGGAAAGAGACGGCATGGCAAGCGCTGCATTCGCCCCCTCATCCCTGGTCCCCCTGGCCATCTCCCTTCTTCCTCCTATTTAGCCTCCATTTCTCCCAAGTCAGCCCTTCCTTCCTTCTTCCTTCCTACAGCCGGACGTTGTGCATGTTTACTCCGAAGTAAGTGCTAGGAACCCTGTGGGGATATTACCCCGGGGGAGCGGGAGCATCTTACCCCGCCTCGCTCCTCCTTTCTCCTCCCCAATGTTGTCAGCCCTGCTGTGCCTCCCTCTCTCCTTTCTCTCTCTCTCTCTCTTTCTGTCTTTCTCTCCTCCATCCTTCCTTCCTTTCTCCTCCCCTTTCTCTCACCTGAGACTTCCTTCGCTTGAACAGACTCTTCTCGCTTCCTTCTTTTCTTTTCTTTTACCCCCCCCTCCTTCCCACCGAGAAATATCCATAATTTGCCCAAAAGAAAAAGAGACTTGGGGAGGGGGGGGAGGTAATGCAGCAGATGCCCTTTCTTGGAGGACAGTGGTGCCCAAACACCAAGCACAGAGCAGCATCTGTTGGTGTTTATTGCCCTCCCCTAAGTATAGGAGTATAAGGGACGCGGGTGGCGCTGTGGGTTAAACCACAGAGCCTAGGACTAGATCAGAAGGTCGGTGGTTCAAATACCCGCAATGGGGTGAGCTCCCGTTGCTCGGTCCCTGCTCCTGCCCACCTAGCAGTTCGAAAGCACGTCAAAGTGCAAGTAGATAAATAGGTACCACTCCGGCGGGAAGGTAAACGGCGTTTCCGTGCGCTGCTCTGGTTCGCCAGTCATGCTGGCCACATGACCTGGAAGCTATAAACTGGCTCCCTCGGCCAATAAAGCAAGATGAGCGCCACAACCCCAGAGTCGGCCATGACTGGACCTAATGGTCAGTGGTCCCTTTACCTTTAGCTTTAAGTATAGGAGTATAAGGGACACGGGTGGCGCTCCCGTTGCTCGGTCCCTGCTCCTGCCAACCTAGCAGTTCGAAAGCACATCAAAGTGCAAGTACAGTGGTACCTCGGGTTACATACGCTTCAGGATACAGACTCCACTAACGCAGAAATAATACCTCGGGTTAAGAACTTTGCTTCAGGATGAGAACAGAAATCTTGCTCTGGCGGCGTGGCAGCAGCTGGAGACCCCATTAGCTAAAGTGGTACCTCAGGTTAAGAACAGTTTCAGGTTAAGAACGGACCTCTGGAACGAATTAAGTACGTAACCAGAGGTACCACTGTAGATAAATAGATACCGCTCCGGCGGGAAGGTAAACGGCATTTCCGTGCGCTGCTCTGGTTTGCCAGAAGCGGCTTAGTCATGCTGGCCACATGACCCGTAAGCTGTATGCTGGCTCCCTTGGCCAATAAAGCAAGATGAGCGCTGCAACCCCAGAGTTGTCCGTGACTGGACCTAATGTTCAGGGGTCCCTTTACCTTAAGTATAGGAGTCCGCCTAGTCAGTCATTGGCTATTTGTTTATTTCTTGTTCATTGCATTTATATCCCGCCTTTTGACCCAAGGAGCTCAAGGCGGCATGCATGTTCTCCGTTTCCTCCTTTAATCCCTGCAACTACCTTGTGTGGTAGGTTAGACTGAGAGGCAGTGATTGGCCCAAGGCCAACTTGTGAGTTTCATGGTAAAGTCAGGATTCAAATTGTAGCTTCCCAGTCTCAGGTCCTAGTCCATCCACACTTAACCACTACTCCATGCTATTAGTCAGCTCCCCACTTTTTTTCTCTCCTTTCTGCTTCCTTCCAGAATGGAAATAATAGTCTCTTTCTCCTTTCTGGATGACCTCAGTGGAATCTGTTGTCAAGCCTCTCTCTCTCTCTCTCTCTCTCTCTCTCTCTCCCTCCCTCTCTCCCTCTGTGTGTGTGTGTGTCAGTGAGAGCAGCTTGGGTCTATAAGGCTATTTTAGCTCCTTTTGGATTACAGTTGCCGTTGTTTAAAATGCTAGAGGCTTTTGCATTGCATATAATGTACAAATGCATCACAAGCCTTTGTTTTTGTAACAGGAGTATAAAAGCAGGGCTTCTGAAAATACATAAAGGGGCTGTTTTGTTTTATTATTGTTATTTGTTCCAGCTTTCTAATCTTTAGTGCTCCCCCCCGCCCCCCGAAAAATAGGTGTCGTACTCATCATGAAGTTGTTACAGTAATTGCCACACTTTTTAACAACCCAAAAAATAGGTGCAGGTACTACATACCCTTGAGTACCCCCTGGGGGAAGCACTGATCATCTTGTTAACATAACTGACTGTGGGTGAGTTTTGAAGCCCTGCATCTCTCTTCTGTATACATCCTCCAGCAATACAGTAGTCCTGTCAAAGTTTGACCTCCGTGATTTATGTCTGAAGCTATTTAAAAGGCAAACAAGTATTAGTCAGAGGCTAATATACTGTGACAGTGCTGTGTCTGTGTATATGTCTTTTGAGTTCCAAATTCTAAATTTGCTTCCCTGCACAACCTATTCTTAGCACGCACTGTGCTTTAATTATTAAGTTTATTTGTTTCAAAATCAATAACAAATACATGTGGCATGATGCTTTACCTCATTGGTGCCGACACAGGGAAGAATTGTGCTCCTAATACTTGAAATATTTATTGTTTTTTTCTGAGATAAAAAAGAAAACAAGGGGATCAAAATGCCTATCGACACCCCCATCTAAATGCTGTAAGGATTGATGAAACATGGGTCTTCATGTCTCTTCTTCAAACATCCATCGTAATACACATGGCTGCTGCGAAGGAATATATAATTTGTAAATTATGATAAAGATTCAGGTGCCTCCTCTTTTGTAAGCAGCCAAATGTAGCAGTGGCAAATACACCCATAATTATGTAATTTTGAGGGTTTCTAATCATATTGGCTGCAATCAGATAATTTACTGATGGGCTTTTCACTGGGCATATATATTTGAATAAAATACTTGCCCATGGATAGATGAAATCAGTTGTTAATTGCTTACGGTGAACGTGCAGATAACCCCTGCTTTGGTCTTTCCTGTTGGTGAGCTGGAGCAGCAATCCATGATCCTTGGCTTGGCATTGCATCTGAAATGTGGGGTAATTGTTTATTTCATTCCAATAAGCCACAGTTAGTAAGCCAGAAATAGACCTTGGCTTCAGATTGTTGTTTGTTGGTGCAAAACATACTATAATCCCTGTTACAGATGCAACACTTAGCTAAGGATTATGATTTGTGGCTGCCACTAGTGGGGGATGTGGAATCCAAATGGGAGTGATGTGGGTATTTATGGTAAACCATGGTTTACCATGATGGGAGAATGCAGCCATTGCTTGATACAAAGTTATTTAAAGCTGATTGCGACGTAACAGCAGTAATGATCAATCTTTCTGCAGTGGGGGTGCTTGACGTTTTTTGGGTCAAGGGATGCATTGACCAATGTATCTACTGAGAATCGCATGGTATAGTAGCTGTGGCCAAGCTGTAAAAATGACTGTGGCCGAGGTGGAAACTTAATGCTTTTTGTTTTTCAGTACCAAAAAATTACATGGAAACTTACAGTTGACTATTTTGGATACAGTGCATGGCATCGTACAATACATATACAGTACGTATTCCTAATGAGATGACTGTGTCTGTTTTTCTTGCTCAAGGTGATAATAGCAGATGGCATGCCCAGCAGGAGAAAATTTCTCATAATTTGGAAAAAATAAAAAACAACCCTGCAATTATTGCATATATTTAAACGAATTCCACCAGATCCGGTTCCATTAAGCCCCCATATTCATTCTGCTCTGCTCATACATTATTCCTTATTCCATTAACCCTCCATAGCAATTCCTCTCCCATCCATTTTATCTGCTTGCATTAAGCTCCCCATTTATTTTACAGCGTCATTTGCACAGTTAAGGGAGAATAAGAAGCACAATAGTCAAGATGCTACTAAAGTATACTGTATATAATATATAGCAGAGGCAGTAATTATAGTAGTTTCAGAAGAGTGTGCTTATGGAAATGTGTCAGTTACTGCCCAGTCAGGTGAATGTTGATGTTATCCCATAAAGGTGCACGTAGGATTTAGCCAGTTTAATATTTCTTCAGAGAATTCCCCCCCCCAAAAAAAAACCTCCATTACTGTATTTAAGAAACAGCATTATCATGTTGCATGTACCCCTGGGTGGCATCAGTCCCAGCTGGAGGCAAAAGAATGAAACCAAGGAGGCTGTGTAAAGTTAGTGTTATTGCTGCAGGCTTATTAAATGTTGAAGAGCTCTTTATATGATTGAGTTGTACTGTTTGAACAGAAAGTTTATGGTTACAAGTAGAAATATATCCAGATTACGGCATTTGTCATGTTTCAAAGTATGACAGATATAAAGTTGACCGTAAGAGATGTTTAAAAGTCTTTTAAAAGAGACTTACTTGGAAAGCCTAAAAGAGTGTTTGGAATTATATACTAGATGTGCTTATTTGGTGCATAATTTATTGAATGCTTTCCTTTTCTAAGAATTATTTTGGTGCTGTTTGAATAGTTCTGATAAGTTGCATCAGTGATCTTTGCCAATACACCCAGTGCACGAGAAACACCAATGTTCAAGTTCTTCCGTCATAAAAGCATGGGGCACTTGGGGAAGGTTCCATGTATGTCCCCCTGAGCTCCACAGAGGAAGGTTGGAATGAAACTTCAATAAACTATGTATAAATAGACTTCAGTAAATTACATAATATTACCTAGGGCAGGTGGCGCTGTGGGTTAACCCACAGAGCCTAGGACTTGCTGATCAGAAGGTCGGCGGTTCGAATCCCTGTGACGGGGTGAGCTCCCGTTGCTCGGTCCCAGCTCCTGCCAACCTAGCAGT